TTGATTTTCCAACAAAGACTTGATACCCGAAACTTAAGCGGTTACCATTGGTTAATAAAACGAACCGTTTCAATTGTTCTATGAAGATCTAAGTATGATGAAGGCCAACAAGTATTACGAAGAGTCAGCTATTGTATAGCAATGCAATGAAGAAATATCCATGGATGTAACAACGTAGTAATAGGAGAACAGAACAATTTCAGGAATGATATCCCAATAATGCCCAATGGCTCCACCCACAAATCTCAAAAGAAATCAAATAGCCAAACCCCGGGGAATCTAAATATGATACTTCAGTGTTGTAATGAAAATAGTAAGGAAAAGGAAATTTTATGCCACCAAAGTTTTAATAATCAAGCAGGGCGCCTTCTCAACCTCCGTCCTTGCACGAGCTGGTTCTCGAACTGTATCGACAGAAGCTCGTTTTCACCACCCTCCATAATCATCCCCAGGCAATTCAACGTGGAGTTCCTCCTACCAGTGACCTTTTGGGGCAATTTACTAGCTCCCGGAATAATATCAGACTTCGCCAGAGGTGACGAAGTAGAACGTCTCTTCGATGGAGGAGGAATGAGATCCTTACACGTGGTATCTCCTGAAATTTCATTCGGGCACGATCTGAATGATGACGCAAAATCTGTAGATTGGGTGAAAGAAGCGCTACAGAGCGGTTTCACGGCGACGTTTATATCGACCTCCCTAAGCCCCGTAGACGAGGAAGACGTTGGCTTGACGTTCATTTTGGTAAGGGGATTGTTGGACCCTACCTCGTTGCCGCCATCTTGGTAAACCATGGCTTTAGTGGGAGACTTAACTGGAGAGAGGAACAGACGATTAGAATGGATAGTGGGAGAAGCGTTGTTATCCATTGAGTTTTCATCCTCTTCCTCGATTCCCCTCATTCTCGCTATGAGGGTACCATGTGGCTCTGTTCGCGGGAGAGTAGATGGGTAATCATACTGCATTTTTTCGGGCGTCTCTCCAGTTTTGGTATATTCTGTAAGTGACCTGGATTGGAAGTTCGATTGCAGCTCCTCAAGGGGCTTTCTAATATTTTCGGTGAGATTCTCAATTGGCTCTAGAATGGCTTCATTCTCATCGAGAACGTTATCCCGGAATGTTTTAGCTTGGATGCCAAACACATCCAGGTTTTGATGGATGCCCTGGTACGATTCGCGGATAGTACATGTCAAATTCTCTAAGGTGCCGATCCGTGCCTCGTGATGGATTTCATTTTGTGATCTTGCTCTCATGACGAAGGTATCCAAAGCTTGCATTTGTGTCGCAATTCCTTCCATCTGAGTGTTGACAATCCCCTCAGTCTCCCGATGTACCGCTCTTGCAGTTTCTTGGATTTTATTGTTTTGTGAATCAAAGTGCTGGCAGAGGTTAGTTTAAAACTCTGGGGGTTGGTGAGGTGCAATGACGTACATTCCAATCATCATCAATTTTTCTTCGGATTGTTGACTCTGACGAAAGAACACCTGTTATAATTTTATCTTCTTGGAGCTCCCATTCATCCATTTTCTCGCCGAATTTAGTGTCTGCCTCTTTCAGTATATCATGAGAAGCTTCCATGTCCGAGCGGATACTGTTTACTTTGGCATCTAGTCGTTCCGACTGTGTCTGCGCTGATCTATCCAGTAGTATTTTTATTTCTGATAATAGTGCGGTACGCTCTGTTTCTGTTGCAGCTCGTTCTTCATCAAGGGTAGCTTGTAGCTTCAACATGGTTGCTTCGTTTATTCCGGTTGCTCGGCTGTTCGCTTCGTGCAACTGGTGCCGAAGCCTGTGAATATCTTCTTTTTGCAAACGGAGGCTACTGACAAGTATATCAATGATAGACTTGAACTCTTCACCAAGGGATATGTACGAGGAATGCAACTATAATTATTAGCGCCACTGTATAATCGCTGGGAAAATATACGACTTACCTGACGGTGAAATCGCCCAAGCTCATTTATAACTTCCCCGGATATCCGTTCAGCTGCGGCAGAAAGTCCCCTCAATCCTTCGCTAATTTTCTCTTGAACATCTTCCCGCAGAATTTTGATTTCTTCCAGGACTTCATTCATTTCATTCCGACACTCGGTTGTTTGCTCCTTAGTTTCTATTTCTGCGCTCTCGAACAAAACCTCCGCCTGAGAAATAAACGAATGACCAGCATCGACACGACCTAGCTCTTGAGTGACAAAACTTTCCATTCTAGCGGATAAATCTTCTAGAAGTTTGGACTGCTGACTTTGGAACGCTGCTATCCGCTCGTCCACCATTCTCGAAACATTCAATACTTCCGAGGTAGATGACTGCCACGTTTTCTTATTCAAGGCGTGCAGATCTGACCGTCGTCGTAGTTTTGAGTGGAGCCCGTCAGCATCGGCGACCGACTTTCCCAAGGTAGATATCAAGCTGGTTCCGATGCTGTAGAGGCTTTGTTCGGTTTCCTGGTGAGCTTTTCGTAACATTGATTCTTCCTCCAAGCTCTCCTTCGTGTTTTTGAGCACAATATCTGTTTTCTCCAAGAGGTCCTCCGTCTGGTCAAGTAAAAGCTTGGTGGATTCGTTATCCTTCTTTATGTCATTGAAATTGCTGGTTAAAGTAAACAGCTCTTGCACTTTATTCTTGAGGTTGGCTTCCATTGTTTCGATTTTTGCTCTTTGCTCTTCAATGAGAATGCGACGAGACTCGCTTTCAATGGTCATTTCCTCATATGCCCCAGACGAAAGATATACGCCATTTCTTTGCCGTGTCGCGATTAGTTCGCACTTCAATTTTTCAATCTCTGTCGTGAATTCTCGCAGCATAGTTTTCTTGGATATAGTGGAGTTGATTTGGGGTTTGTTGCGAATATTCTTTGCGCGGAATGCATAATCTAATGTTGAAATAGTTTCCTCCAGGTTGCTTCTTGCGGGAGATACCGTGGCTATAATACACGTTTTCGTACGGCCGCCTAAAGAATCTTGAAGCAGTCTCGTGAGCTTGGATTCCCTATTGAACGTCAGTGACAACCTCGGAGTGCATACTGATGGGAAACCAACCTGTATGGTATATGAGGGCCTCCATCTACCAGAGCATTGATTACCCTTCCCAGAGTGAGCAAGCTCTTGTTGATCAAACCCGCCTCAGTGGCTCGCTTGTTTTCTGCGCCACTGCGCTGGATATTCTCACTTCCAGCCAAGTCCACCAAGTTAAGTTTCCCGCTGCTAATGTATTCTTCGCCCTTCTCTGTTTTTCGTTTTACGAACACAGTAATCGTAAACACCGTATGGCTTCGAGAGCTCAAGTCGTTGCATTTTGTAGCTGCTACTTGTCGTTTGTAGCTGCCCTCCTGAAGCAACTTGATGCCAGCCGAAGCAGAATGAATGTAAGTTTCACCCATGCCCTGTACCATAGTGCCGTGATTGCCCTTCTTTGCGCCATCCTCATATATTTTCAGCTTTGTACCGTCCTCGGATGAAAGCAGATCTCGAAGTTCCTCGTTGTACAATTCGATAAATGAGCATTTGACAGAGCTTTCCATATCCTCAAGTTTCTTAAAAAGGGAATATAGCACGCGTGGGATGATCCCAGCAGCATCTGATAACAAACCAAGAGTGTCCTCCATATCACCAGACATCGTGTAGGTTTTACCTGTTCCCGTTTGGCCGTATGCAAATATAGTACAATTAAATCCTGAAAGCATCTAGAGCTTCTGGTCAACTCTTGGGCTCGAGGTTGCTTCTAGAAGCGCGCAAATAAAGGAAACCGTACCTCATTCAAAATTGGAGCCACGACATCCTCGTAGATAATTGCCTGATCTGCGGCAGGGGAAAACACCTTGTCGAAGTGATATTCTTTGTTTCCCATCGCGTTTGGCCCCATTGACAATTCTAGAGTTGTTCCCTTGACCCCTGGAGTTGATACAACCACGCCACTGTTTTCCTTGACTTCTCTATCATTCCTACCCCGACACCGTACAACAACATGAATGTTTGTCCGCTCAGCCGGTTGGAGTTCGGATTCCCTTTCCTTTCGCTTCAGTCCCGTACTTGGTTGCACGCTAGGTGATCGAATAGAACGAGTGGTGTTTGCATTGGAAGGCCTTAGAGCAGTGGCTGGAGAGCCTGCTCGCTCGCTGAGAATGGAGGCTCTAGTTCTCTGAGGTGGACGTGTCATGGCCTTCCGCAAGCCACCCGCAGCGGCTTGGGAGCGTGTTGCTCCGGCCATGTGGGACAGAGTAAACTGTTAACTCAGCAAAATCTTGGTGAGGAAATGGGGGAGTGAGGCACGTCTGCAAAAGTCGTAGAATACCAGCTCACGAAATAGGTAACTATATAACTGCGAAATGAGAATAATAAATGATAGAGGCCGGAGAGCCGAGTGCGTCAAGAGCAGGAAGAGAGCTACTGCCGTCATCGATATGGTTGTTTGGATGAGAACAGTTTGTTTCCCAATGCGGTAAAAGGTAAACAATTTGTCTTACTAACACGGTCACACGTCACATGAACGCCAAGCCACGTGGATTGGATCATTCCGCTCCTTGAGCCACTTTCCATTTTGTCATGTCAAACGACATCCATGGAAACTAATATATATATCTCGATATATTTACGCCAGAGGCGGCTGTCAAACGGCGAACTCATTTCTACTCCTGATTCTCCTACGCATGCTACACGGCGTTGCGTGAACGTCTTAATAGACGAAAACGACGTAATATGACCGCCAAGCACGTATGACTTGGCTACCTCAGCATCATGACCACCTCGAGAAATGCGACCCCGGCTCAGATCTTCCCCGGAAGGGGGATTGGGTTTCTAAGTACGGTTGGCTATTATACCTATCGTTGTGTTAAGCCCGTGCTAACTGTTACTTCTTCATTAGCTTTGGGAGCCTCTCTGCATCATACCATAACTCGCCTCAAAGCGCATCCCCATACTTACCCCTCCATCGACTTGTCCTACTCTTCGACCAATCCTATCCACTCCCCGATCCTTCTAAGTCTGCCAGAAAATGGCCTGCGACTGCGATTTGATGGTCCGGACCAAAGACTTCGTCTGATAGAAGTGCTAGATTTCACTAAGATTCCTCTCACGTATAAATCCCATGAGGTCCTGAAAGCCACTAAGCCTACGGAGCAACCACCACAGCTAGGGCCAAGTTTTCGTCATATTTACAACCGCATGTTTGGGCCATCCTACCCAGGAGAATTCATTCCCGGTTCCTCAGGTTCAAAGTACGGAACCTATGTTCTTTCCTATCCCGGTATCGCCTTTTCATTTCCCTTGCTTCAGTCTGCGTGGTCCGAGCAATGCGATTTTGTATCTTTAATGTCGTCGGCGGCGGCATCTTCTGCTACTTCCATGGCTGTTTTCCAGGGATCATCGTGGGCGGATGGCCGTTCTAATATGTTGACGCGACAACCCCAGTATCCAAGATCAACTGCTCTTGCGGGGAAAAATCGAGAATCTGTCGCTGATGAAATAGAGGAGGTTAAAATCCATGGCGCAGGAAGGATTGAGTTTTTCCGCAGATCGGGGCCATCGATCTGGATTTCCCTCTCTGAGACCACACCACAAGACCTCGTCGCGGAATTTGGTCCTCCAGATGCTATTTACCGGAAAAACGATAGGCGTATCTCAATCCATGGGACCCAGACACTTGGTAACACGAACCTTAGACGAACAAGCCCTTCGCCTGGCCGCACAGCTGACCCCACAGACATGGATCCTTTGTCTGAAACTAGCGTGACGGATGATTCAGACGGCGAGAATTCTCCCACTTTCCAGCACAATCGGGCTACGCTGGCAACTGAGTGTTTCTATAACTATTTTGATCACGGGTTCGATGCCTTTATCTCCCATCCAACGGTTTCTGGGCCACCGTTTCCAGGTTCATCACATCCGGAGACGTCCACAATTTCACCACCCCCGCAGTTAGCCGTAACAAAGATCCTTCTGCATGGGAACGTGCCAGGGTCATACCCCTTCAATCGCCATAGGCGCAGCCGCTGGGTCCTGAATATTGATTCTGCCCGGGAACCTCTGACGTCGGAAACCCAATATGGCCAGCTATCAGACGAGTTGAAACGAATATGGAAGGGCTCCTACTCGAGCGCATCTGAGGAAATGGCCCTTCAAAGAGGAATGGTCCTCAACCGTGGCTGGGGCGATAGTCCTGGAAGCAGTGTCGAGCTTCTTGGTGGCTGGGAAGATAGCTCGGCCAGCAAAGCTTGGACTAGTTCAGTAAATGACGGCGGTCAAACACTGGGAAATACTGAGCTGTTTGGTTTCCCGGGCTTGCTTTTTGAAGTTCTGAAGAATGGAGCCATTAGTTGTTTGACTGTTTACTAATTTGGATTAATTATTCAGTTGCTTGCTTTCTGGGCGTTAAAATGTGATGTTTGTGGGCGGCATGTGGGCATGTATACTTGAGCATACATTATTCATGTTGTTTTATTATTGTATTAAACCATTTGTCTTAGAATTATCACACACACATATTGCAACAGTTGAGATTGTTGAGGATCGTATTCATAATAATCAACACTTACCCAGAAAACAATATACAAAAGCAGCAAAGAACCAGTCTAGTTACGTCATAGTCATTTTATCAAGGTTAGAAGCGCGCGGCTAACGATCGTCTAACGGCTTGATAAATTTACCGTATTTAGAGTTCGACGTGCGTATTTTTTCTGCAGGTTAACCTTCAACATCTGAACAATCAACTCGATCCCTCAACCTAAAATTTCTAAACTTCTAATATTCGAGCCTTCGACGCCCAGGCCGAGATATGCTGCAATAACAGGAACATGCCAGAGTTGCCGCCATCCCTTGCTCGATCCTGGTCGTCGACGCTCAAACTTCCCAAGTCAACTTTCCCCCCTCGTGTTTCGTTGACCGACCAGGTCAAGTACCTAGAACGATGCACACATGACCTCTATAGCTGGCAGCAGCGCCACCGTCCGAATGAAAATCGATTCGTCCTCCATGATGGCCCTCCATATGCCAATGGCGACCTACATGTCGGTCATGCTTTGAATAAAATCCTGAAGGACATCATTTGTCGGGTGCAGTTGGCGGCTGGGAAGCGAGTTCATTATGTGCCAGGCTGGGATTGCCACGGACTACCAATTGAGTTGAAGGCATTGCAGACACAAAAGGGACTGGGGAGACTTGAAGCAGGTAGGAATGGAAACGGAGGTGCTGCAGCGATTCGTAGAGCGGCCAGGCAGCTGGCTGAAAAGACGGTTCTGGAACAGATGAAGGGATTTCATAAGTGGGCAGTTATGGCGGATTGGGAGAATGCGTGGAAAACTATGGATAAGAGTTTCGAGAAGAGGCAGCTGGATGTATTTCTTAAAATGGTGGAGAAAGGCTTGATACATCGGCGATTCAAGCCTGTGTATTGGTCTCCTTCATCGCGCACAGCACTAGCAGAGGCTGAGTTGGAGTATAAAGAGGATCACAAATCTACAGCCGGACTAGTAAAATTTCCTCTTGTGTCCATGCCGTCTAAGCTACGCGATATGCTACCATCAAATACCACTGAGATCTCGGCTGTCATCTGGACGACTACACCGTGGACATTGCCTGCCAATGCAGCCATCGCTGTGAGCCCCACCTTGGAATACTCTATTGTGAAATCGGAAAAGCATGGATATCTCGTTGTTGGCTCATCTCGGCGCGAATATATTCAAACGTTGTTACAAGGAGAGGAAGTAACAGTAATAGGCTCGCCAATTTTAGGTTGTGAGTTAGTCTCCGAATCCACATATCTCCCGCTTTTCAAGGACGGGTCCGTTCCCCAGCCCGTCATCGCTGCAGATTTTGTGACAGCGGATAGCGGTTCTGGTCTTGTTCATTGCGCTCCTGGCCATGGAATGGAGGATTATGAAGTTTGCCAAGCACACGGGATCGCATCTCATACTCCGGTTGATGATGCAGGTTTGTTCACGGATGCGGCAATGCCTTTGAACCCTTCAATGCTCAGTGGGAAGTCTGTACTTGGCGATGGAAATCGAGAGGTCTTGCGATATGTGGAGAGCAAGGGCCAGCTACTTGCTAAACACACGTATGAGCATAAATACCCGTACGACTGGCGGTCAAAGCTTCCTGTGATAGTACGTGCTACTGAGCAGTGGTTCGCTGATGTTAGTGATATCCGTGACTATGCGCTCCGGGCATTGGAAGATGTGCAATTTATGCCTTCAATGGGAAAGTCACGACTAGAGAGCTTCATTAAAAGTCGCAGCGAGTGGTGTATATCACGGCAGCGAGCTTGGGGAGTGCCGATTCCTGCCCTCTACCATCGAGAAACTGGGGAGGCAATTCTGACGAAGGAATCGGTGTCTCATATCTTGAAGGTTATCGACGAACGTGGAATCGACGCCTGGTGGACAGATGATGAAAACGACCCTACTTGGATTGCTGCTTCTATTAGGGAAACATCTTCTGGTGCTGCCTATAAACGAGGCACAGACACTATGGACGTGTGGTTTGATAGTGGATCCAGCTGGACGCAAGTGAAAACTCCCGCTTCGGTCGAAGGTTATGCGGCTGATGTGTACCTCGAAGGAACAGACCAGCATAGAGGGTGGTTTCAATCAAGCCTCTTGACATATGTTGCTTACAATCTAGGCTTGGGGGAAAAAACTGGCATTTCTCGAGCGCCATTTAAAACCCTCATCACCCATGGATTTACTCTTGACAAAGATTCTCGGAAGATGAGTAAGTCGATTGGGAACGTGATTAGCCCAGATCAAATCTTAGATGGGACGCTTCTACCCCCATTGAAGTTGAAAAGGATGAAGGGACAGGAAAAGAAGCCGACTGCGCCTGTATTTGACGCCCTGGGAACCGATGCGCTAAGGTTATGGGTCGCTAGCAGCGATTACACCAAGGACATAGTTATCAGTCAGCCTGTTCTTAAGACCGTCCACACCAACCTTCACAAGTACCGGGTAACCTTCAAACTCCTTCTCGGATCTCTGCAAGATTTCGACCCCAGCTGCACAGTCCCACACGAGTCGTTACGCATTATTGACAAAATCGCACTGCTCCAGCTTCGAAAACTCATCAATATCTGCCAGGACGCATATTCAAGCTTTGAGTTCTACCGCGCAATCACAGCTATCAATAAATGGGCTAATTTAGACTTTTCGGCTTTCTACATCGAATCTCTCAAAGATCGCCTGTACGCTGATTGTCCCAATAGTCTTAGCAGAAGAGCCGCGCAGACAACCCTCTGCCACATATATTATCATTTCCAAAACCTCCTGGCGCCTTTGGTACCCAACCTCGTCGAAGAATCATGGGAACACACACCGGAATTGATTAAAACCAAATTTGATCCCCCGTTACACCGCATCATGACCAAACCTCCACCTGAGTGGCAAAATGACGAACTGGAAGAAATATTCCCGCTACTTATGGCTATTAACACAGCAGTTAAAACCATGCAAGAAAACGCCCGCAATAGAAAGGAGATGGGCTCATCACTACAGACATTCGTGCACATCTCCGTCTCCTGTAGCGCCGCAGAGGCGTCAATCTTCGAAAAATTCGGCTATGAATTACAAGACCTCTTCGTCGTTTCTTCCGTTACTGTCGGGTACAATAATGCAGCACTGCCACCTGAAATCGAAGCTGCTGAGTGGAAATACAGCTCAGATTTCGAGTTCCCCGGCGGGAGTGCGCGTGGACATGTTTGGATATATACCCCACAAGCGATCAAGTGTGGGCGATGCTGGCGATATGCGGTGCCGTTGGAGCCTAAGCAGGACGACCCGTTGTGCCAGCGGTGCATAGATGTTGTGGGAGAGCTACCTAGGGTGAACCACGAGCTTACGGGTGCAGCTTCTACCAGTAACTGATACTGTGTGAATTAGTATTACGATATATTGCGATTTTCATTGGTGATTTGTATGTATATAGACACTCTTGTACCATAGACCTACTATGCAGCTAACTCATTTTGTCCTCTACTCTACTACTTGAGTGATTTTCGTTTAACGGTTTTTGTTCCAACATCTGAGTGGAAGGCTGGCTCCACGACAACCAGTTAGGACCAGCAACAAGCGTTGCAACAGGCCAATGAAGCCGAATCCACAGCCAAGCTAATCATCATCCGATCTACCAGCCAAGTCCAGGCAATGGATAATCTGTAAATATTGGCGATGTGGGGGCTCCTCTAATAACATAGGTGATTTACTGATTTACCTTATCTTATTTAATATAAATCTTTCAATTACGGAAGTTCCATTAATATCGACAGCTAAATAGCTAGAACGAAAAAGGGAAGGAAGATTCGAGCCAAAAGTACTTCCCCAATCAATCATACCATCCGTCTTGCAGTCCATTCAAAAAGGCGCTATCAACATTGATAAAGCTCTTCCAATAATCCACTTCTAGTCTCCAAGGCTGAGTCTGCACAGCAAATGTTACTGCCGACGTCAGCAAGAGCAGTTCTTCCTCATCCTCCGCAAGTATAAGTATCATATCCCGTTTAATCACAACTTTGTTAAGTAGAACTTTCTTGTAGGGATCAAGCCGCTGCTGAAGGTTGCTGTGCATACTCCAGTCAGAGAATGGCATATCTTTTGGAATAAAGCGCCAGGACCACGCACGTCCTATCTCATCGATGAACGAGGTCCAGAGGCGATTGTCATAGCCAATCATCAGAGGATAGAAATGTGAGCCAGACCACACTCTGAGAAAGGAGTAGTGCGCATTTGGCCGGGAAGCAGCGTGGGATTTAATGGTGTTACGCAAGAAAGAGATAGAGATTTTGGAGGGATCTTCGCGCCCGGGAGGCATGTGAATTTCATGCAACATCTTGCGGAAATCGATGAAGAGATCGAGAGGACGGTCCTTCTCACAGCTGCCGAATGCTTGGCCTGGGATCAGCTCCGGCGGCTCATAGCATAGGCAGATGACGCCCTCCTTGAAAACTATATTCTTGTTAGACTCCGCTGTACATGATAAATGTTTGCGCTTGCGCAATCAAATGGGTTAACTCACGGTGGGCAATTTTTGGCCGCAGTGCAACGTCCCATTCCGGAGAAAGCTCGTCCAAAAGATGGGTCTGATTTTTCTGGCATCTCTCTGCAATTCCATCCAACTCTTCGAAAAATTTATTGCCTCTGGATGTGGGGCATTGATAGCCTCTTCTATCTGGAAGCGTTTTGCTGCGCTCAACTTGTCTGAAAAGCATAGATTTTTTAATTTCATCCCCCTCTGTGCAATTGTCAAAGAAAACATTCCCTGCTGGGAAAAACAATGACGTCATCAAGCCTGCACGCCGCGCATCTCCTCGAACCCTTGAATGAGTTCCCAAAGGGTAGTCCAGAAATACCAAAGGCTTCCACCAGTTTGCTACTGTTGCTGTCATGTAGTGGAAATTTACCTCACATTTGGAACGGATTTGGAGGAGTTCGTTCCACTGAGCAAAACCGTTAGGCTCCAGATCCGCCCGGTGCCAGGCTTCCTTGAAAACTGGATACAAAAGTCAGCAACAATTGTTTGTACTTCGTGCTGGAGAGAGTAGAACGAGTGGATAGTTTTGAAAATCATCGCTGTGCCACTTACCTTTGGCTTTATGACGGTCTATAAATTCCATAAATTCAAGGTGCATGTCATCAACACCCTCTGGTCCAGGTCCCAATGTTTCCAAGAGGTCATTTGCCTTTTCCAGCGCATCGATAAAATCGTCCACAATGGTACCGGATCGGCTACTATTCCATTGGTATCAGCGTACTTTCTGCACCAGAGGGTTCGTTTTTCCAAGGTGAACACATAGAAAGAGCGGGTATTCATACGAGTTTGATAGGTCACGGCCCTCCTCGCTCTCTCCGTCTTTATCTTGAGCTTTATCAGACTCCTCCAGTTTTATTTCACCACTCTGATTTAGCGAGCTACTATCCGAGAAATCAGATTCTTCCCACTCGTCCTCTTCCACGTCTGAATAATACTCATCAGAGTTAAACTCCTCAGAATTATATTCGTCATCAGTATCGAGATCATAGGCAAAACGAGTAGCATAATTTTTGATCCGTCCTTGCTCGAAGTCTGTCAATTTGTTCCTTATCGTTTTCAAGCGATTCGACGTAGTTTTTCCCGTTAATTCTTCGGAGAAAAGGATAGAGTCCTCCAATGCGTCGGCTTCGTTATATTTCACCTGATTCGGCAGGCCAGTTCCGAGTTTACCTTTAGATGTACGGAAACGAAATATTGTATCCTCTCTCTCATACACATCACACACACTCTCTACCTGCTCTCCCGGCTTGATGTCTCGGATTCGATGAGTCTCAGGGTCTCTGGTTACCGTTTTCAAATATGGCGCGGAAGCACCGAGAATATCAGCTGGCCGAGTGACACGATGCGCCTTGTACAACATCTATAAAGTGTCAGTGTGGGATGGTTAAAAAGAAAATGCAAAAGATGATATGGAATCAAACCTCAATTATGCTGCTGTGCAATGCCTCAAACGGCTCACCAGGTGTGGAACTCCAAATATATATGTCATAAAAATCATGGAATCCAAGCCGAAAAGCTCGCCTTCTCTCCATCTCGTTGAAAAATGCCTCATCGACTTGCTTGATTACATTCCATGGAGCCCGAGAACCCCGCCGATGGCCAATCTTTTCGCGGAAGAGCCAGGCGTTGTTGTCTGGGGGCTTCACGATGATTTTGCCGGTTTTGCCATCTCGGACGACCAGCATCATGCGAGAGGCTTGCATTGATACATATTGAAGGAATCTGCGAGTGATAAGGTTACCACGTTTCATTTGAGCGCATACGTAGTTTCTCCCTTCTCGAACAGCTTGATTCCGGCCGCGGCCCGTGGTCCTCTCTTCACTAAGTGTCAGAATTGTTGCCTTGGATTCGACGTAGAACGGTATGAAGCCCTAGGAAGAGGGTGAATGAGCTCTTTTATTCTCTGAGGTGATGGGGGGAATCGTACACTTACCATTGAGAGGAAGGCTGTATGCATGGTATGGCTCGTCGACAGTAACCACGACGGTGACGGGAAATAGTTATAGCTAGCCAGGGTATTCAGTTCAAAGAACTCTTCCCACGATTTGCAAAGCTCCGCGGCTCTAAATAAATTGCAATCCTTTGCAAAGATACTGAATTGAAGCCAACCTCCGCGGGACATGGACTTGGTGCTAGGATAGCTGTAGATGTGTCGGCCGCAAAGCTTGACTCGGATTTTCCATTGAATACCACTGTCATCACCATCCAATTTCCCAAAGTCAATTGCTGAGCCTTGTCCCTCTCTTGCACCGCCGGCATCTAAGGTTTCCTTCCGCCGCTCCCGCTTAGCAAACATCTTCTTCTCTCTCTTTGATTGCCATGTGTCAGGGATATTATGTCGTCGGCGCGAACGAGGAACTACCCAGTCATTATCATCATCTTCGTCATCCGACTCGGGCTCCTCTTCTTCATTAGAATCGGACTCTTCCGCACTCTCAGCATTACCGCGCGCGAAATCCGCACATGCATCACGAATATCCTGTAGTTGTGGCTGCTCCAGTTTCAAACATATATCCCTGAGGTCATTTATAGCCAAGTCAGGATCATTTAAAAAATCATGAATCGTAGAGGCTCGCAAAGCAATGGGCAAGAGAATAGGATTTCCCAGTAGCAATCGACAGAAAAGGAGGTTCTTGATTTCAACCATATCGTCCAATAGCTGGTCAACTTCGTCTGCAGCAACGGGGCAGATCCGATCCGACGTGACTTCTGGCTTCTCAGGTGTACCTTTGATTAACAAAGACGCACCCTCAAGTGTAGCCCCTTCAATAAGTCGAGTACGCATTTCTTCACGGGTTTCGATATTTTCGACATTCGGATCAGAGTTTCCAGTACTCTTTTGGCCAAGCGTTGATTTAGTCTCCGTCCCGGAAGGGGGAGGAGTGCCTTTCCGTTTTTTGCTTTTCCTTTTATTCTTAGAAGAGGCGGTAAGAGGGATTTCCTTTGAAGTTGCTGCGTGGTCTTCTTGGGTGAAGGGTAAAGCTGTAACATTACTCTGAACATCATAGTCATTATCTAGCCCCTCTGGCACTGCGACATTCCCCTTGGCAATTTCCAGTGGGTGTGCTTCCGTTAGCCAAAGGAAATGCTCGATCAAACTAACATAAGTGCCACGTTCATTGTCGAGTACATCTTCAATCGGATCCCAGGATTCTGCATCTTGTGCAAGCCGCTCCTCGTACGCCTTTTGAAGAAAATCATCTTGTTTTTTCTGCTGTTCTTTTAGACGTAGTTCACGCATACGCCGATCAACTTCTTTCACTTGCCTCCTGAAGAGCGCAGCCTCTCGCTTAACCTTCCTCCTCTCATTCTCGCGCATTTTATCTTCCTCCTGCTGGCATTCCATCGTCCATTGGAACCACTTGCGTTTCTTATAGAGGACCTCTGCTGTTCTGCGAGTGACCCTTTCCAAAGCCGTGGCAACAGTTAGCTTTTGCTGTAAAAGTGTGTCTAGATATTTCTGGTGGCCGTAGTCCATGGCCTGCGCGTAGAAATGGCTATGATGAAGTTTTCGAGCTTTGATCACGCGGTCAAGTAAATGATATGTTTTCAACAGGTGGTCGTGGATTTCTGACAGCACACTCTCATTCCCAAGGTCTTCAAAGAAGTCATTGGCAAGTTTTGCCGATCTTTTGGCCAGTTGTTCGTGAGGGCAGGAACGAAGTTCGTCCAATTTTGCATTCCTATTTTTGTAGCCCATATAAAGACCTATACATATATCGTCTCAGATGGATCATTGTAATATGATTATCTTTTGCTTAACGCGGATCACAACATACCACGACACTGCCAGGAGTGAAACGCACAAAACAAGCCGTTAGATGATGTTGCAAGTGCCTTGCAGGGCTTCTCATCCACAAGACTCAGCGCGCTGCATTTCTTGTTACCGTTGCCCACGGAAGCAGACTGCTCAAGATCTGTATTTAGGGTGGACATAGTGAGCGATATCCCATTACCAGATGCAGGCTGTCCGGTGAGCGGAAGAAAGTAAAACGAGGGAGTCAATACAAAAAACCCAGCAAGATGGATAAGATGTAGGAATACATGTACAAAATCGATATATTGAATACAAATTGCAATAAACAGCAGGAAACGAGAGAATTATATCACAGCCCCGGTATCTGGACTCCACTATGTCTGGGATATTTGTTGAGGCTGAAGAGAGGGGTGCCACCAGGTGGGATCGTCCAGTCCCGTGACATAGTAGTCCCTCGCTCGAGTCTTGACAGAAACCGACAAGCGTTATGTGCTCAAGGTGGACATATAAGCAGTACATGGTACACATGGACAGCCGTCAAGCGTGATGCCTATACCCTTCAGGACTCTGCCAATGGCCACTCGGTCCATGTCTGCTGCCAGGCAATGGTCTGCAATGGTCTGCAATGCAAAGAGTGGAACACCTCTGATGTCTTCGCCCAGCTTGCTGCAAGCAGACAAACTCAATGCCGCGAAGGGCAAGTCCTTCGTATCAGTAGTGGAAGCAATCAAGTGGTTCTATCAATGGCAGGCCCATCCAGAGGACCATCATAAGCTCACAGTTATCACTCACTGAGGGTAAGAATCGGGCAACTAACCTTAAGGGTAGCCCGAGTATGCTAAGATAAAGTACGGAGTACAGAGTCCTAGTTAGTAACATTTTACTGTGTCTTCAACGGAATTTCTCTCTTCCCTGGTAAGGCCCTGGATTGTGTGCGTGGCAGCCGGATATATACTATTCACCAGTGAACTCCTCTGGCCTGGACTCCAAGTCCATCTCATGACGTCATTGGTTAGGTGTTGGTTTCACAACCAGCCTCCACTCTCTTCAAATCCGCAAAAATGGATTTCGCAGGCTGTTAACTCGTAAAGCAAACTAGTAGTTATTGAGATCTTTCTTATAAGAGTGTGTATATTAAACTGGAGCAGCCGAAGCAAGGCTAACACGTCCCAAGGTTCCGGATAACTCTATTTTCTCAGATATAGCATTCACCTTACCCTTGGTAGCTCAGCGATGACGATGATGTCGGGATTTTCATGAGGAGCAAGGAACTCTGCCCTACTTCTACGTAGCAATGATGTATGACGAATTTGACCTCCAAACCTGACATTGTCTTCGTTGCCAACTGCCCGGATTTGCCTCCCTCGGTTTCAAATTATATATATCTCTCTTATCATCAAGCGCCAACCTTTTTATGCAACTATTCTCCTATCTTTTTTTGACTTGTACGGTACCATTTTCAAGTATCTATTCCATCATTTCCCTGAAGATTGGATATCGACAGTACGTACGTCCGCCATGATTAAGCCAACCAAAATTGACACCTTCCGTTCCTCGTCTACGATCAGCCCGATCCCGACTATTATCCCAAACGAGCCAATATATCAAGAAATAAGCGCCACGGGCTATCGGACATTATGGTAGGTCTGCTTCGCGAAGGTGAAAATATAGAAGAGAGCAAAACAGATATCCTAATGGGTTTACTAGGGTGGTCGCGATCCTCATGCTGTTGTCCTCGCTCATTTTCTATATCCTAGCTTCGCGAGTCCCTGTTGTAGGTTTCATTTAAATAAACCGATTTGCATAGTTGGATACCCACCTAACAACATCACTTAAAGCAAAAACGCCTATTCCATGTACTGGCCTCGCTGGTGGCGACCGTATCCTTCCTCGCTTATTTTGCCATGGCCACAGGGGGTGGGAAGGCGTATAACCATGCAATTATCCACGAACATCACAAAAACGCGCCTGATACCATCCAACACATTTACCGTGAGGTATACTGGGTCCGATATGTGAACTGGGGCTTGACATTTCCCATGATCCTCATCATCCTGGTTCTCTTAGCCGGAATGAACGGAGCAAGCCTTCTGATCTCCATCGTGGCCAATCTTGTCATGAATATAGCCGGTGCCATTAGCGCATATGGAGGGCACAGCGGGCGGAAATGGGCGTGGTATACGATTTCTTGTTTGGCCTATCTCACGATCGTGTACCAAGTCGGATTCAACGGCCGCAGGGCAGTTGCGTCAAAGGACAACAGAAGAAAAACCCTGTTTGGGTCGCTCTCTAGCCTTGCGACGATTGTTTTGCTGGCCTACCTAATGTAAGTGGACAACGAGGAACATCACGTCCTTGTGATGAAATGAGATAGGTATTGATGTCTTTTCAGAGTCTGGGCTGCTTCTTCGAACGCTCGTCGAATGAGCATTGATGGAGAGGTCATTTTCTACGCCATTTTGGATCTTCTCGTTCAGGGGCTTTTCGGGTACTGGCTCCTCATTTCCCACAATAGCATGTCAACCTAGTAAGTCAATCCCTAACTTGTGCCGGTGTCGCGTATGGGACTTACACTCCCGCACAGTTCTTTGAATATGGATGGATTCTGGGCTAGCGGCATCGGAACCGAAGGAAACATTCGGATTGGCAATGGAGAGGAATCCTAAACACAGTATTTTATGGACGTAAAGCAGCCAACCATTCATCCATTGGATTTGGCCAAACGAACGTTATTCACGGATGATGTCTGAAATCTCTCAGTAAACTCAAGATGGCCATCAGGTGTTTTCACGGGCAGGGTCAGTTTCCAACAGTGTTACCCAATCATCTGTTTTATCGGTTGCGGTTTTGGCAATTTGGAAGTCATCTATCATATCATAAAAGTGGGTTTTGTGAGCAGCATTTCATGAGCATTGTGTGTCCATTGGAGGATCTATGAACTATGTGTCTTTTTGTTAAGGTACCGTCCGAAAATTGCTGATATAGGTACTTAAATCATGTCGAATTGAATAGTAACTAGTTAATGACAAGAAGGATATGAAAAAAATATTTGAGGTTGGCCGCTGTGATCCAGAGGGGATTAGTCAGCTCTTGGCCTTCTTCCACGACGAAAACAACCTCATCCTGTCCTTCTTGACTTGCTCCCCCAGGTCTTTATTGCATAGTTTGTTCCCATCTCTTTGTTTAATCTTACCCTTACCCGTATACTCTGCAGCTGCTGTGTGTCTGGCAGCGCACTTCGGACTGGCCACAGGCGCGCGGGGATTCGGGTATGAGAAGTTCGGCGTGGCGATGCTGGCCTCCTTGTGCAGTACCACCGCCATTGATTTCCCACTTTCTGCTCCTGCTCCTATGTTTGATACTTTTGCCATTGTTGTTGCTTTTGCTGTAGCTGCTGAGCAATTTGCTTGTTTGTTATCTGCTACCTTCTTCACCTTCGAACCACAATCTACCCGCTTGATTTCCCCGTAGTTGACCCGTTTAGCAACAATGGCTTGCTCAGATAAAATTTTCGGCCAGGAGACAACAACTTGCTCTCGCATCCTCTCCGGCAGCGCAAAGCCTGCATCGACGCAGTTGTTCTTGAAGTTGATCAGACGGAGGCGGTGCGGGTTAAAGAGATGAAAAGGGTCCGCGTCAACGACGAAGCCGGTCAGGGAGAGTTTGACCACCGGCAGGAGGTGGAGGGTACTTCCCATCTGAGCCGCGCGAGCTTTTGCATGCACAATAGAATATTTGTCTAGGTATTCGCCTATGCCTGCTCGGCGGTGGAGAATACCCTGTCCCTCGTCACCACTAAAAAGGGTCCTCTTTAGTTTAGAAAGTCTCCCTCTAGGCCTTTGGAGGTAGAGCTCTTTGAAGTGCGGGTGATTACTTACTAATATGAGCTTCTCTCCGCCTCGGGCTTGCTGCGTTGAATCCAGCCCCCTTTGATATATGGCCAGCTGGAAAATGCGCGTCGGATGCACGGCTCCAACATCATTTCCAGCTCCAAAGTCTCAAGGCCGGGATTCAGCCAGGCAACCTGCCAGATGTACTTTTGGTATGATTGGCTCATGCCTGTAAGCCTTAGGAAACGCAATTTGCGGAAGCTGCAGAGCGGTCCCATGGCTTCGAGTGGGAGTATGCCATCATCATCATCGTTGGAGGCAACGATCTCATACTCGTCGCCGAAGGGGTTAACCATTTCCCCATCAACTTTTTCCTTCCGCCTCTCGTTTCCGTTGTCTTTCGTTCTATTTTTCTCATTCATCTGATCCTTCATTCTCTCCTTGTTTCCTTCCTTCTCTATTTTCATACCTTCTGTTACAACCGGCCAGAAAAGGTCAAGATGTAGCGAGTGGCAGCTCAACTCAAGCTGATTCCAATCCTCACCACCCCTGAACAACAAGTAGCCGGGATTTTTGCTACAATAACCACAACTGAGATGACGTACTGGAGCGTTCGTAGCCTCACCCGAGATTGTAGCACGGGGAAAGTGGCTCAAAGAGTACAACGACGTTCCTTGGTTTCCAGTTCTACCAGTCATACGTTTTTTACTACCGCTTCTGCTCCCAAACACAGAGCGCAGAAGCCCAACGCTGCTGCAATTGATACTACCCTGATCTTCATCACCCTCATCATAATCGCGGCGTTGATTACGAACATGAATATCCCGGGCGATTTTCTTCGTTGGAGCCGGCTTGGACTCTTTTTGTTCTGACATCATATCTGTGGATGCTGACAGTACCGGTTTGCTAACGACAATGTCTAAGTTACACCTAGCACCGAGTTTGAGGCTTAAGCATGGTGGAACGTCACTCATGCTACAGCGCCGCTGCTTCTTAGAAGTCAAGGTTGAAGTTGAAATTAATTTCGGTACTGTTCGGCTGTTGTTTCTCTCCGGGCTTGTCTTCACATCCACTTCGTCCGAAAGGGAGATTTTGCTCCACGGGAAGGGCAGCAGCGAGCTTGTTGCAACTTCGTTGTATGCCAATTAGTACCTTGGGAGGTATGTATATGTATTTGAGGAGCAGGGGAGGAAAAATGGGTGTTGTACTTGTATGTTAAATTCAGGGGACTGTTTATGAATTGAATACATACGCGACTGTCTCCCGGTTTTTGTACCTTCTGCTACCACTTTGCCTCCTCCTCTATCTCTAGCTTTATGTTTAACTTGAGCCCCAGGATCGAAGCGGGCTCTGTTTTCTTTCTCCTCGTCATTCTCCTCGTCGCTCGAGATGTGAAGGAAACTTTCACCTGAACCGTACCAAGTCATGCTTATTGAAGGCCTTTTCTGTGCTGCCTATGTTCGTCGTGATGCTTCAATGCCTAATCGATGTAACGCGCAAGTTAAACAGGGGATATGTCAAGACAGAGAATATTTCATTGAGCTAAGCCGAGTTGCAAGGAAGTACATGCATGGGGGATGGCAGGGTGAATGGTGAAGGTGTTGCTACAGTGACTTCTGGCGTGTTGTTATTCTGTCACCAAGAGAGGTGGAGAGAAATTCTGTCTGTGTGCATTTCATTCTTGTAAGAATACCATAAAAGTACTCGATGTTTGATCCCCGTTATGCAGAATATATAGGCGAATCCGTCCGCAATGGCACAAAAAGCTATTTTATTTATAGGAAGAAGCCCTATATACATTGTGCAGCATTCTGTACCTCTACATGACCAGCGGAGCTTGGATTTAGGAGCCTACATTCCTATCTTCGCAGCTAACGCTTTCAAAAAGTACATCGCTCCGCGTAATGAAAGCGTGCGCTTGCAACTCGCTACAATTTTTACATCTTCTTGTCTTAACCTCCTGAAGAAACAAAGATATCGCCCTGTCTGTATTCCTATTTAGGAATCCAGAGTTTTGAGAGCGTGGTGCTGTAGCCGCGTGGAATGAGGTGTGAGGAGTTGAACGTACGTGTTGTAGGCTATCAGGGGATGAAAGGATCCTTTCTTCTACTAACCTTGAAAAAAAAAATGATAATGTTTGGCTCAAACGGGCAAACGATGACCCCTTAAAAGACCTTAACTCTGTTTCCCACAAAACCCCACACGATTATTTGTTGGGATGTGAAGCTTAACCAAGTTGAGTTGTTTTGTTTTACTTATTCATTCATTGACGGTTTCGGGTTTCTAGGAAATATGCCGTGGAAATGCCTATTTCCTACATATATACTCTGATGCGTCCCGCAAGAAATTGTGATGGAATTGCACCCAGCTATGTTCGTGTGTAGTATGTCAATAAGCAGATGAAATCATTTATTCATCCTATGAAAAAATGGTGGTTTTGCTAAGTTTATTTTATCCACGCCTTGAAATTTTGATTTGATTCAATTGACAAGAAAAATGGTTATGAATCCGTAATATGAAATAACAAAGAACAATAAAACAAAGCACAAAAAAAGAAACGCTTAATACTTCTTCCCCTCTCTCAGCACATCAGCATACTCGTCCAGTGGACTTCTGATTAGCTTCGTCTCCTTCCACAGGTTCGGGGTGAGGAAGCCGTAAGTATTCGCAACGGCAACGAAGGTGGCTTTGAGGGTATTTTCGAGGGTTTTGGTGGAGCCGGAGGAGGAGGTATAGATATCTTGGACACCGGCAAGCTGAAGAAGGCGCTTGACGGCGGGGGAGGCGACAAGGCCTGTACCGCGCGGGGCGGGAATCAACTATTTCATATACATGAGTAACTTTCATAGGTGTATGACGTATTTTACCCCAAAATTTGACGTGATTCAAGATATGGAAAACATACCCGAACAGTGACGGAACCGCACTTTCCGCTCTCCTTTGTAGGGAGCGAGTGAGGCTCACCGAGGTTGGAGCCCCAGTATCCTCTGCGGACGGGAAGTACGGAGAGCTTCGCGATGATGATGGCGGCGCGGATGGCAGTGGCTACTTCTTTCGAAGTCTTGATTCCGAGGCCAACATGGCCTTCCGAGTCGCCAATGACGACGATGGCCTTGAATCGTGTACGTTGACCAGCACGGGTCTGCTTCTGGACTGGTTTGATCTATATATGCACATCATTGGATTAGCTCCTAATCCATTGAAAACCCTTTTACCTCCGCATAATCCAAATCCCTCTCCCCAGCCGTATGCATATATTGAACATCCTCCCTAGAGTTAATATAGTAAATGGATATGTTTACCTTCATAACCTCATCCTTCAGCTTGGGCAGGAAAAAATCGACGATCTGATATTCCTTGATAGGCAGGGAATGCAGGTAGATCTGCTCCATGCTGCTAATCTTTCCGGCCTTAACGAGACGACCGAGCTTGGTGACAGGCTGCCATTCCTTCTCGTCGCTTTTGGGTCCGCGACGACCACGACGTCCACGGCCTCGCTCACCAGCACGGTCGCCGCGCGAACCGAAACCTCCACGGGCAGCACCACGGGGAGCATCAGCCATGATTGGTGAAATGAAGCTGGATCTTCGACCGAACAAACGGAAGAATTGGAAGGATGGCGTGAGTTGGTGATGGTGGGGAATTGGATTGCCGTTGGTCTCGTCGTCGTCGTCTTCGCCGTTGTCAACTTTCCCTTCTCCTTCTCACAAAAAGGTGTGACGCTGAGTCAGCTCCACTAAGCGAGGGGGAAGAGCTCGAGAAAGCCCTACACCCTAAGCCCTAAGCCCTAAACAGAGCTGTTTTTGGATGCTGATCGTGTAATATACAAGCTTAGTCACTTGCCAAGATCTTCAAGCTCACCTGCCGCATGCGGAAATTCGGAGCTCCATAGCAGAGTTGCTGCAGGAGCGAGCTTTGGGACGGATTCCGGCGTGTGGAGGACGCATCGGGGATGATTACAACTGTGGCATAGATTGCTGATAGATTGCTGATTTCACGCCACTGTTTGCCTGTCTGTCTCTACCCAATTGTCCATTTATCATGCTCCATTGGTAAGTGTTGTTTTCTGCCGATACTTTTACCCTTGTGGCCATGAAACCCATGCTGATAGCATCAGGTATCACGTTCAATTAGCAAGGCGGCCGTTGATTACCCAGAGTATTGGGAGCGCGGTAGGTCCAAATAGGTCTATATCTCCAATTCTCTCTTCTCTTCTCTTCGAGTTTGGAGTTGACTCTTGACTTCTCCAGATCCTCTTTGGTGCTGGAGATGTCCTTGCCCAGCAGCTGGTAGACAAGGTCGGCCTCGAGCACCACGACTATGCCCGCACTGGAAGAATGGCCCTGTACGGCGGTGGTAAGCCTGCATTCTTTCTTCTATTTCTCTCCTCCATGCTCCGATCTGTCAATTGCACGTGCTCATCAATTACAGCGATCTTCGGCCCCGGCGCCACAACCTGGTACAAATTCATGGAGCGGAACATTGTCCTGCGCAGTCCCAAGCTTACCCTCACAGCCCGCGTCTGTGGCGACCAGCTCCTCTTCGCTCCAACACACATGTTTCTCTTCCTCTCATCCATGTCCATCATGGAAGGCAACGATCCGTTGGAGAAGTTGAGAACCAGCTACTGGTCCGGTTACAAGGCCAACCTGATGATCTGGCCGTGGGTGCAGGCGGTCAACTTCACCCTGGTCCCGCTGCAGCATCGTGTGCTGGTGGTGAATCTTGTTAGCTTGGGTATGTGATATTTTCGCCCATCCAAGCTGTTAATATTGCGCCCTGGATCCATGGAATATTCTCTTCGGCTAATAGAACAAATAGGTTGGAATTGTATCCTGAGCGTCATCAACAGCCGGAAATAGGATTGTTTTTCACTTTGCATTCCTGCTGGGAGAGGCTATATATATTCAATCTTAGTTGGCTTGCATCACTTTTTGGGTTGAGACAGGTTTTGTTCTCATTCGATATCTTTGGGCTGGCCGGCTAGGTGGGAGATATGGATTGTCCATTTTACTGCTATTGCATAGGCGTCAGTACTTTCTCTTTGTCCTGATCTAACTACCATGTACCTAATTCCCTTTTTGTAATTCCAGTTTAAGACATTTGCATTATGTATCTACTTAGAACAGGTGAAAACATCAGATAACCTGAGATTCTACTTTTTAGGTATATACCAAATAATGATTTGATCAACTCTGTAGTCTGTCAGTTGCAGTAAAATCTAAAAATACTTATGATGTTTTTTCCCCACGTATTTAAATAGCTATTCACGTCTTCTCAGTTCTATCTGGATTGTTCTGTGTAAATGCTGGTGAAAAGTTGGCGAATGTGTTGCTCAAAATCGTTTGCTTGCCGAACTCTCTCTGTTTCATTTTTTATTCAATGTAAAAAATTCATCCTCGATAACCCTGACCAACAACCACATCTCAACAACGACGGCTCTCAAACCCACCAATCTTCCCACATCTTAATCTAGCCCTCTTTATTTAACTATTGACTGTACCTGGCGCAGGCCGTTTTCTTTTCTATACTCTAATCCTCTTCATCCTGCTATTATTGCTACGTTCTGTGGTGTTTCCAAAGCCCTCTCCTCCGTCGTCGAGCCTTCCTCACATCCTTTTCCTCTTGATTTATCTTTTTATTTTCTCTCCTCATCAATTTATTTTCACTTCTACTTCTTCACCTCTCGGGATACTTCATTCCATAGACATCCTCCATCCAGCTCTTCCTGCGCCCACTGGTAACTCACTCTCCTTACCTTGGCCCTCTGCTCTTCACATCACCACCATGGCCACAACGGCAGAGAACGGGATCACGGTTCCCAAACCCGCAAACGACGAGAACGCAGCCCCTGACATCGCTAGCGCTCAGACAAAGCTGGGCGATACTGTTACCGTGTTTCATGACCCTAACAACTTCAACGTCAAACACCCGCTGATGCATGAGTGGACGCTGTGGTTTACGAAGCCGCCAAGCGGGAAGGTAATTTTATACACTGTTATTTTCTCAGAAACTATCGGGTGCACTATGTTAATTATGCTTCGTTCAGGGCGACAACTGGAACGAGCTCCTGAAAGAGGTTGTGACATTTAATTCTGTCGAAGAATTCTGGGGCATCTACGTGAGTTGCTAGAAAATAAGAGTGGTTGAACTCATCGCATGCCCCTAACAAATATTTCTGCAGAACAATATCAGCCCCACGTCCGAACTAGGTCTGAAAGCCGACTACCACCTCTTTAAAAAGGGTGTCCGTCCCGAATGGGAAGACCAGCAAAACAAACATGGCGGGAAATGGTCGTACTCCTTCCGCGACAAGAAGAACGTCCCCATCGATGACCTCTGGCTACACGCCCAGCTCGCCGCCATCGGTGAAACCCTCGAAAATGACAATGACAACGAGGTTATGGGCGTCGTCGTAAACGTGCGCAAGGGATTTTATAGAATCGGCCTATGGACGCGGACAGTTGGCAAGAGCACCCCCGAGGGTCGCCCAGCGGAAAAAGGCAAGGAGATTCTGCATAACATCGGAAGGAAGTTTAAGGAGGTGTTACGGCTGAAGGAGGAGGAGATCTTGGAGTTTTCAGGACATACGGATAGTGCGCATGCCGGAAGTACGAGGGCGAAGGCGAAGTTCACTGTCTGACGTGCGACCGTTAGGCGGTTTTTATGTTTTATGGAAGAGAGACTGGGGCAAATCATTATAGAAATGAGAGCATGATATTATTGCCTAATGTTTTTCTGTGATATGGGATGGGATTGGAGGAACATGTGGGCCACTCTCACTAAATGAAAGAAACAGGGGCAGACAGTGCAGAGCATGGCGTGGTTTGAATACTACGCAAATGCAAAATACTGTTGACTCCCCCTCCGCTGTTCCATCCGCCATCTTCTATGCGCATCTCCGGCAAACGATGGCCTGAACACGCTTCCACGACGTCGTCTTTAACAGATACTATCATTCTATACTTTACTGTGTCTTCTAGATGACTGTGCATGGTAATGATTACTCCATCCCAACCCCAGTCCAATCCGACATCATCGTTCCTCTATGCTTAATTCGAAATTGATAATATTGCCTTTCCCCCCCGCTCCGTTTCCCTTGGTTTCTATTGCGCTAATAAAAACAGCCGCTTCCAGTTGTCATTTACTGTTTTATGTATTTCCAGCTTGTCCTTTTCCCTCGTCCCATCCTTTTTTTATCTGGTGTAGTGTTTCTAACTTTTCGTGGCCTTCCCATCCATTAATAGCGTGATACATATTTATTACATATGTTAGAAGATAATAGCTAACTAACATGCATGGGAAAATGGCTTAATTGATATCTATATTGTGAAATCAATCACCAACTGCGTCGTTCTATTCTCTTATAGCGGTTGCTTGAATAAGCTGGGTATATAGGTAGCTACTTTGGCGACCAGACAACTCGCTACAAACCGAGCCAGCCATTCAATCTAGACTGTAAAACACTAACTAACCTATAATAGCCAACATGGAAGTCAGAAATCAACGTCTACCACCGAAATTTATTTGTGGATGTGCATGGCTGAAAGGTCGAGATGTGTGTAGTTGGCGAGCAGCTCGTGCAGCTCCGTCTCCGACGGGGAAAAAGGGAATCAACTTCAACAATAAGTCTATGCGTAAACATTGTAGATGTTCATCGCGGCGGAGAGGAGAGATGAAAAGGAACAAGTGCACCATTTCCACATTAAGTATTATAATACAAAGCGTACATATCCAAAGCTGAACAAGGCTGTTGTGAAAGGGGGTCCCCTCGCGTTTACATTAGTTTGTCTATCCATCTAGCTCATCCATCCAACAATGGATCCGTGAAACGTAATAGTGGTGTGTATCGTATTATACAACCTAGTTAACCAGTGCAGGCAGGGCGTGCTACAAGAGAATCGCATACACTTTTATCCCATCCCGTAACGGGCAAAACCGGAGGAAAACCATAGCTTCAAGTTAGGACTCCAGCAAATCCGCGAATACTAATTTCGCCAGTGATTTTTTGTTGACTGTTATTTCATATAGGCCAATCAGTCAGCCATTCGCACTCATTCCTATCCTTCGCTGTAAATGACCTGAGAACATTACGTACCTTTCCCCATTGCATTCCGCGGCAGCCCATCCTTCAATGTCCGCATCTCCGACGGAATCTTATACGCCGCTAGCTTTCCTTTAAGCGCGCGACGCATATCCATAATACCCCATGTTTTCCCCCCGCGACCGGTATTTGCAAAATCAGGGCTGAGGACGAGGACGACCCCAACCTTTTGGCCCCATTTGCGCGAGGGGACGGCTAGGACGGCTGCTTCTGCGACTTGGGGTCTTTGGAACTGTTAGTACGTAACAATTTGCTAATAGTTTTAAAGGGGGTCGGGGGCACATACAAGGTCAATAACTCCCGCTCAATCTCCAACGCGCTAACCTTCTCACCACCCGTTTTAATGATATCCACGCTCGTACGGCCTTGGATGAAATACAACGGACCCCGGCACCACTCCTGCCCCTCACGTCTCACACCAGCGGTAGCAACATGTCTGCGCACAGCCACATCGCCGGTTTTAAACCAACGGCCCCCTCCATCTTCATCCTCCGTGAACTCTTCCCTCGTAGCCTTCTCGTTCCTCCAATACTCCTTGAAGACTGTCGGCCCTCGCAGTTGGATCTCCCCTACTCTCTCGCGCCCAGTCGCGTCAATCTCTTCACCTGGCATGATGACCTCATTCGCATCCGCGTCGAAGAGTCTGCATTCGACGTAGGGGAGAGGCCAGCCGACACTGTTGTCGACGCGGTCGGCGAAATTCAAACCACAGCTGAGCGCCATGCCGACTTCGGTCATCCCATAGCGTTCTAGGAGGACGTTTCCGTGACTCAGCTCTGTCCACGCAGTCTTTGTGGGGGTTGGTAGAGCAGCAGATCCGGATATGTTCAGCCGGAGGTTAATGGGGGAGATGGCAGTTTGTGTTGCTTGTTGAATTTTCGTTGGGAGGGATTTGTGAGTTGATAGGAGCCGGTTGTATATTGTCGGGACGGCGGTTAGGAATGTGATTTTCTCCTTATTTGGTTCCGTAGGAATGCTGCTGGCCTTGCTTGGTGGAATGAAAGGGGCCCCCAGTCTCTTCCAGACTGCGGTTGGGTTGAACGGGAACAGGAACTCGATAGACGAACCCGCTAATAATGGAGCAAGAATGGCATTGACCACGCCATGGATGTGGTGGAGGGGCATCAAATGGAGCAGTCGGTCGTCGGGGGAGTATTCCCATGCCTCAACCAAGGACTGGGTTTGCGCTGATAGGGCAGATTGCGGGAGGAAGACTCCTTTCTATCATGCGTGCGTTAACATGTAAAGATTCCAGTATCCGTATCCCGCCAAAACTACTTACCGGCCTATTCGTAGTCCCCGACGTATACAGCATCATTCCACCTCGCGGGTCCAACATACCTTGAAAGCGCAATTGTGTAACTGGATCCGCACCCATTTCGATCTCGTCAAGTATTCTAAGTAGTATAGTATGCTCCGGATCCATCTGGACAAGTTCCTGAGCTTTCTTACTATATTTCTCCGTCGCCAGTAATAGACCAGCCTGCGAATTGTCCAAGATATATCTCAACTCGCCAGAGGGAAAGCTTGGTGAGAGAGGCAGTGCGATACCGTCGCAGGCAAGGATGGAGAGAAGAGCCACTGAGGTTTCGAAAATATCAGCATAATCCAACCCTCAATCAATAACAAGCAGTATCAATATATATACATGCATCAAAGGATTGAGTATGCAACAGTACCCACGTAGTCATAACCATTCTCTGCCAAAAATGCCACGGGCGAACCTTGCAAATCTACATTTTTGGGGAGTGCACCCGAACATTGCAGCAGGTTTTTTTGGGAGCGTAAGACATCGCCAATTAAGCTACCATAGGTGAAGGACCGGCCGGAGGCACTGTGGACGATGGCAATTGACTTCGGATCGTGGTGGTGTAGAGCGCGAAAGATGGGTAGGTCAGGGAGGGTAGATGCGAGGCGGGTTTGGAAGCAGCAACCGTAAGAGAGATAGAAGCTGGGTGCAGGACTCAAAAAGCAGCGGTAGGATGCGTGAGTGAGAGATATTAGGCTGCGTGAGGTGAGCATGTTGGAGGTTGCGAAAGGTAAGTATGCGGAGGAGAGGTTCAGCCATGCCACAATGGCGGGCAAAGAGGAATCGGACTATTGGGAGATGATGTATGTTTGTAGGCCAACCAGAGACATTAACGCCATTCTCCTTCGATATAGTAAGAATTTTTTTGAGCTTGCGTCGAGAAGAATGAGACGAATTGGTGGTGGGGAGGTTGAAAAGAGTTCCTCGCAAGCAAGGGCTAGGCCGAGACTAAATAAATAATCATGAATAAATTGCAGCGAAGGTTTGATACTCGACTTCTTCCCGCAATCAACAATCCTGGATCCTCCGTTTTTATTATCTCCTTATCCGGTTGAAACAATTCACACGTATACTCATACGTAAAGCCAATGCTCCGTTCCATTCTCCCGCGCCAGAATCATTTTCTGCTGCTGCAACTCCGCTCCATCTCCAGTGCATCAATGTCGGCTACGCCTGTGGAAGACGCCATCCGCGCGAAGGTATTCAATATATATTTGTCAAATCAGGACAAGGGACCTAACGATAACCAAATCTCACCGAATTCTAGCTCCAACAAACCTTACAACCTTCCACCCTCATAATCCGCAATGACTCTAAACTCCACGCCCACCACGAGCCTATGCGCGGGAACACATCGACAGAGACGCATTTCCAGTAAAGCCATGTCTAACTACCATTTTAAAGCCCCTCACTCGCAAGATCCGTGATTCTAATACTATATATCCCACATCCAACAGCATAACAGTAACTTCACCCTCGTTCGCATCCAAGACGCAAGCCGCACGACATCGCATGGTCTACGCTGCGCTGAAGGAGGAGTTGGCACGGGAGGGGGGGATTCATGCGTTACAGTTGAAAACGCGGACGGCGGAGGAGGAGGCGAGGGACCAGGTGAGGGAGACTAAGGAGAAGGAGGTTGAGACGGAGTGAGCTGTGTATTGGTTGAACTGATTATTGGAGGCAAGTAAGCATACGTTTAAAGGTGGGGGCGGGGCTGCAATATTTATCTGGAGGTAAAGCGTTGCCGGCTTAATTGTAATAGTAGAACAGAAAGGTATATCATATGAATTACTTTAAATGAAGAAACTACACTCTAGAGCTTGGAACTCTGTGCAATTATGTGTTCCCACGAGGTTCTTTTGCCTGCTTTGCGAAAAGAAACAGAAATTATGTCAAGCGCGGTGTATTCGAAGAGTAAAAAAATAGAAATTGATAGCTCGATTGGTATAATATGATCCGACAGGAATTATACATATAATCCGGAAGGTAGCAAATGGTAAATACAAAGGAGGTGTCTAATCCAATGGGTGCAGGCGAATACGAACAAGAGATCAGGGGAACAAACAGCAACAAAAAGAAGGGAGTAAAACCGAATGGGGAAGGACGCGCGGGACAGAAGCTCCGATGATGTCATGAACAAAGTAGAATGGGATATTACTATATAGGTATTTAGTTAGTCTTGTGAACACGATCGAAACCGTGTCATATAATGCGTAGACTTCCCTTCTTCGCTTTTTAGCCAGGCAAGTCGTTCTGTTCAAGATGGAATAAACAAAACCAAATGGAGCAACGAAAATATAAATAAAATGAAAGCCTTCAAAAATGAGGATTAAAAAATTAATTAGACAAACAGGTATAAAGAAACGGGATAGTGTCTGTGTACAGGGTAAGCGAAAAATCAAGGGGAGAAAACGCGAAACAGAGATAAGTAAATTAGACAACAGTCACAGTACAACAGTAGAAAAAGGGTTTCAAAGTGGGGTGTGGAAATACGCCACAGCTGAACAATTTAAAAGTTTTTTTTTTTCAAAAAAAAAAAGACGAAAAGTGTTGGTCATTGGCCAGAAACTGAATTTGAGGGCTTCCAATCCCAAAGCCACAAAGATACTAGCATGGGACTATGGGGAGGAAGGATACCGGAAGACCTCGAGAATGTGGGTTGGGAACGACGGAGGGGGTATTGACTTGAAAGAGAAAAGAATGACGATCCTATAAGAGTGAAGAAGAGTGGTTAGAACACAAATTTTCAGTCACAGTACCGTTTCGCGGTTGGCTTGAGGGAAGAAGTCAACGCGGGAAGTGAGGGAGGACTCACTCGACCAGAGTCAGAGCGTGGAATTAAAGTTCAAGAGGTGGGGAGCAAGGTGGAGTAAGAGTGTATCCGCAGAACTTCCACGGACTGGAAGAAGACAACAACGGCTGGCAGGGGAGCAGACAATACGAGCTTATTTGCCGCTGCTCTTGCTGCCGCCAGGTCCAACCGTGAAATAGATCGCAAAAAAAAGTACGAGCACAAGAATAATGAGAACTGTACCAGATGGGCATTAGTGAGTTGGTCAAGACGGGATTTCAAAGTATATATATCCATTAAAAAAGATCGTACTCACCTACTATGCCCAGACAAATCCACTTCTTCTTGTTGCGAGCCCTTGCCTTCTTGATAGCACCGCCGATTTCCTCATTACCCTTTGTGATATTATTATGGATCTGTTCGGTCTGATCATCGATTCGTTCAACAGCGGCTTCCTGCTGGATGACAATAGCATCGAGATCCTGGAACATCTGCGATAGTTCCAGCAGGTCGCGTTCGATCTTCAGGATCTCGTCGTGTCTGGCACGCACCATCTGTGAAACTTTCTGTGCATCGCCGCGTCGGTCGCTTTGCATAAGCTGTGATAGAAGGAGAAAGATGAAGATTAGTATATGTAGTCTGGCTGGTCTTCCAAAGGGCGATCATCTTGATGCCTGACTTTTTGCAACAGGGTTGGTGCTAGGTACTTACAGCCTGGCTGAATATTTGTTGTTGCGATGGGTCCTGGACAGCTTCTTTTACCTCCTCATCAGTAGCATCAGGACGCACAATTCGGTACTGTCTTGCCATTTGCGCCTCCAAGTCCTTGCGGAAATCAGACTGTACGGCATGGAAATTTGTAATGGCGGACTTTAGCTTCCGCTCGACCCTTCCGATCTGAGCGCTGTTGATGCTCTCCCCGGAACCAGGAGTCTGTTTTATGCCCTTCAAGCGTTGGACCAGATTCTGGTAAAGGCGTTTCGCATCGTTGGCTAATCCGTCTGCCTGCGAACGAATGGCATTCTCACGGGTGGGATCCGCATCTGTGAGCAGACGTCGGTACAAGCCTTGGATCTGCTCGATGTACCTCTCTACCTCATCGATACCCTGTTCAATATCTTTACATTGGTTTAGGATCGCACGCTTGTCGTTTGGTTCATCATAGCCTCCTTGGATTGGCGGGTCATATTGAGACATTTCTAGACCGCAGAACGGATTAATACTTCTAGTTTCCATAACACGTATGGTTCGAAAAGTGGAGGGGATGTATCAATAATAGGAACCCATGATGGAGAGAGGACAGCGTACCGTATCGACCGGTACCCGCTTCGACATCGTTATTGTATCTATTGTCTTGTCGAGAGCTGTACGGATCATATTGGCCATAGCCTTGGCCGCCGTAGTTATTATTATACTGTCAGATGCAACACAACCCCCATTGAGGTTCGACATTAGCGGGATAGACTTTGTAAGGAGAACCAGGGGTTCGCAGCACGATATGCAGGAAGTGGAGAGGTTGGTAGAACATAGGAGAACGCCAGCCGCATGACGGCAGGCTAAGACTCACACTCATGATGGCGGCAAAACAACGTTGAGCAGAATATGGCTGGATAGATGTTTTTCAATTGTCGATGCGATGGATAAAATGGCCGCTCAAAGAGGAATATTTTGAGTTGGTGAGTGCTGGTGGTGGGAGAGATTAAATAGGGTGGGAAATACGGAAGTAGAGATTCGTCTCAAAAAAAAGAAAAGGGGGTACACGGGACGAGAATGCGAGGCACAACCTAGAAAAGCAGAACAAGCGGGAAGAGGAGAATACACAGATATAAAAGGGACGAGTAAGACAGTCGAAGAGGACCAGGGAACAGAGTTGAAGAGACGAAGAGGCGAAGAATTGGAGTTTTGAAGTCGAAATTGACGCAGGAAGGGGAGGCTCAGTTGGGGTTAGCCTACAGGAGGCCTTAGTCAGCGACAGGTGACACAGGAGATACCTAGTCATGTATGGAGATTTGGCCGGTATCTTAGGTATCCGCTATGTTCCTCGGCCTAGGGGCGGGACACGACGGGAATCGTCCTGCATATTTGATTATCATTTCTGCTTTTGCTGAGCCGGCGCAATAACCATCCAGATAGACACAAACAGACATCTTACAATCGCCTCTCTGCATCCCAAACCTCAAACCGACTAACAATTAACTCAAAGATTCTTGCTTCACCTAACCACTTTCGCCGTCGTCTCGTCTACCAGAAATTCCAGGCCTGAAACAGTCAAGGCGGCAGACATAATATCCTGTGATGCCGGCTGTTTCCACTGCGTCACGCTCACTGATGCTGCATATAGCATACTCCGATTCCTTGGATCTATGTGCTCCATGTTGGCCAGCTTATTGCATCGGGTAATGCGAGAGCAGCAATAATCCCCGCATCCCATCCCTCCATAAATCTCAGCCACAGCCCTCTATGCTCTGTACGGAGTACCAAGATCACCCACCTCCCTAGATCAAAATCGAACTGCTACCCGCAAGGCTATCAAACGAGGGGGCTTTCGTCAATGGTGGCGCGTTTTGGGGCGCTGCGCTGGCTGGTCAAAGGCCAATTTGGCTCCAAATTCAATCCACCCAGGCTCAGGCTCCAAAATTCTTTGCCAGGTTAACCGCCGTTAGCCTTTTTCAAAAAAAAAAAAGCAGTTGCATGATCCGTCCTGCCGGCCACTAATATCCCTTATAAAAATAGCTCTGTCAGAACACTTGCATCTGGCTCGCACTAGTGATATGGACGTTGCCAACGCGTTCGTCCAGTCAAGCGAAACCAACTACCAACATCATCAGCGAACGGATCTGCCACCATGTTGTTGTTTGTAGATATGAAAAGGATCAGAAAATCTGAAACGTACCTACTGTCATAATGTGGAAGGTTCGCCTTCATGTAACCGAAAAATAAGGAATCTGCCAACAAAAAAGAAAAGAAACAGGACAGGGGGAAACACAGAAAGGGACAAAGCTGGATGGGCGATTAAGTGAACCAAACCCCATATCCATAGCCAGACTAAAGCCCCGTAGTTGCCGAGCAGTATTTCTTTCCCCTTCTTTTATTGTCATTGCTATTTATTATCTATCGCTTTCTCCCTCTTTTGTTAACTTCTTTTTTCTTTGAAAGAAGACTCACTAAAGAGAGAAACCGGAAACCCTTGGGGCTAAACGAAGTCAACATCAATCCCAACTCCGGAGTTTCTGCCCGACAACGAGGAGTTACTTTTACCGGGCCCGATACCCGCTGGCCGCTATCGGGTTCCTTATCTGTTACTGCCTTATCACTCACAGATCTACAGTACATATACTAGTACGTCTCCGTCTCTGATAGAAGCGTCGGGAAATATGGCGCTCGCAAGCAACGAAGCAAGGAGTAAATCAATTACCTTACATCATACTCGCTCGCTGCTTAAATGGCCCATCCAAAGTCATTTCATATCCATGGCGTCTTATGCGCGAAGATGCTGACTCTGTCTCCCATTCCGCGGACAGATATTTGCCATGAATTAGATCATATAAGGCCAATAATTGACCTATTTTCACATCCATAGCCTGTTTTTCCCTATTACGCATGTAGAAACAGGAATTTTTCTCACATTGACTCTATCCTCCTGTTTTTGAGTAAAAGTAACTGAGGATACCAGCTTATTGCAGGAGAACTAATAATTAAAATTCTTAGGCGTGGATTGAGATCTCGTGGGTCTCGAACGCTTTGATCATGGAATACTGGGGAGAACGCTAGGCCGTAGTCCACCCGAAAATGCCCCCATACGTAAGTGCCTAGACATACCTTCCAGTTCTTAGAGTCCTGCAAAGGTGGTTAGGAGAACTTGGCTATTTAGCCAAGAAGAAGATTTCATTTGTGTGGGAAATGGGCGAATTGGAAGGGTAGAAGTCGATTTAAAACAGGTCGGTCTGATATGAACCTCACTCACTATTTGGTGTTGATGCCGTTTCAATCCATTGTTGAGGCATGACTTTGCTTTTTTGCATAGCCCCATAGTATGGGTTTTACCATGATGGAACTGGTTGGGAATGGAGTATGTCGTATCATTTTCAATGGATGTGGAAACATAATAAATGCCATTTTCCCATTCTAAGGCCACATATCTATCAATTCCTTTTTTCCATTAAGTTGTGATAAAATTCATTGCATGCGTGAACGTTATCCCCTTCATCGCCTATTTTTTTTTTTTTGAAGAAGAAGACGAAGAGGTCCCTTGTAATCAGTTGATTAATATCCCATTCGTGGTCAAGTTCGCTGCTAGAAGTTTGTAATTAACTTTTCACCCTAACTTCACACACACATATATAGGTATGTATATAATCTGTGACCCATCATCAATCTCCCCTCGTCCCCCATCTCCGCGTCTCATCTCCATCTGCCCATTCGCGTTCGACATACCCAAGACGCTTCTTAACCTCAACGACAGTACGAGTATCACCAGTATTCTTACCTAGATTGTCCGATAATTTGATGGCGGGCCGGCCGCCGGCAGACGAGAGTTTGATGACAATGTTTAGCGGCACGGATTTCTTGTGGTCGGATAGCTGCGTGAAATCATCTATGTGAGATGTTAATAAGGGTAGTGAAAGGAACAGAGAAACAGAGGCACCCTTGTACGACACAAAATGGAGAAAGGGGGAAAAGGGCAACGTACTGGTAAGGAACGTCCCGACACCGAAGACAGGTTGGAACCCTGCTTCCTCAGCAACGACCTTGTAGTCCAAACACAGCTGCAGATTCAGCGAGTCGGAGAAGACAAGCGTTTTCTTATCTCTAATGCCTTCCTTGTCGTAAAAGTCACGCACCATCTTGACGAAGTTGACTGGGTCACCGGAGTCCTGGCGCACGCCCGTGAATGCCTGAGCGTATGTTCTGGTCCTCGAGGCATTTTGTTCCTCGTTGGAGGGATATTTGGTAGGCGCCTCGATTGGTGGTTCTATGTGGGATAAGTTGCCTGTTGTAGAATTGCCCTCCGTGAAGGAGGCTAAGGTGCCTTCCGCTCCTTGCGTTGCTGTTGTGTAGTTCGGTATCGGCTTGCGAAAGGCATCTAGAAAAGCGGGTGTGCCAAATGTATCGGTTAAAGCTATTCCCAGAACCTTCATGGTCTCTTGTGTTAGCCTCATTGAAAAAAGCTTCCTGATATGTCAAAATTGCAGGCTGCAAAATAACACACTGACCCCTTCCCCAAAACATCCAAGCCAATATCGCAAAGCAATTTCATTGGCATTCTCATAATTATCCGTAATAGCGGCAATTCCCATATACCACTCATGAGCAACAGTACCCACAGGAGTAACACCGTGCTTCATTGCGAAATGCACATTGCTAGTGCCAGACATCGCACCTTTCCATCCTTTCACCTTGCCATCAGCTGCAGCGCGACAGAGGCCCTTCATAACCAGACTGTGAGTGTGATAACTCCTTCGCCTCCGCGTGCCGAATTCAGAGAAAATACATCCATGTTCTAGCAGGGTGGCGCCCTTTCGATATGCCTTCTCTTCCTGGTGCCGATAATCCCAGTCACGATCGCACCATTTAAAATATGCTTCACTGGCTAGTGCCAAAAGGGGTATCTCGTAGAGAATAGTCTCCACCCACAGGCCATTTATTGTTATGTTGATATCTCCAGTATCTGTTTCCGCGCCTGTGTCATTTATAGGGGTGAAGGAGATGTGAAGCTGCCCCGCAGGCTTGAAACGGAAGGATGATAAGAACCACAGGTAAGCAGGGCTAAAGTATGGACATTGTGACTTGAGATATTCGTATTCCTCAGTTGTTAGAGAGATATTTGCAAGTTCTACGGAGAGTCAGAATGAGAAAAAAAAAAAAATTAAAAAAAAATTAAAAAAATAAGAATAAAAACAGTGCATATTCAGTCGATGAGGGATGGATCTACTTGGATCGGTCCTTTAGAAAAATAAAGAAAGAAAAAGGGGAGTAATGTCACATACTGTCAATTTCATTCTTCAGCCATGTGTAAGCGGCCCTGGTAAATTTCATATCACTTGTCCGATTGGTGAGAGCATATGTTACTTCTGCACGTCATACATAGAGCGCAGCGGCCCGGTACAGACCCCACGCGGGATGGGTCATTGGTTATTAAGGACTCGCCAATTAACAGCTGTAAAGAACCAGCTGCGATAATAGATTTCAAAAGAGAATTAAAGACCCACTCACCAGCATCGGGGAAGTATTTGAGCACCGCACATTGCATGGTAAGTTTGTATAGGTCTGTATCAAGCAGGGAGAACACCCCCTCCGGCACCGAAGGAGGGGTTGAAGAGTCACTCATGGTTTAGTGCTCGGGGACGCCAAGGAGTTAATGGAGACAATGTAAGTAAGGAGTGGGGGATATACGTGTCAAGCAGCGATATCAAATAGGAACTGCCGTGGTTGAAGATGTCCTGATGCGATCTTGTAGATTTTGGTGTCAGCGGGGCCATATGTTTGCTCTGTTTGCTCTGTTTGCATAGATTTTTGCTCCCGTCTATCGGCGACATCGGTGGCACCATTGGCATCTAGAAGGAGATGATGGTGTGATTATTATTATTCTTACACGGGCAACTTGATACCTAGTTGTCCACCCACTCTATCAAAGCATGTGTCGTCAAACCCAAATTCGTCCTGAATATAGCCCACACCTTGTATTGCAACTGTGCAGAACCCACAAGCCAACATGATGCATGTGATAAAATTAGGAAGATACAAGGATAGAGGTTAAGATGTGGTGTTATTTACAGATGGTTACTGGAGTACAACACAGATACCACCATGCAATGGCACCAACTGGTTTGAAAAAAACTGCGTGAGGGTGGATAAGTGTGTTATTCAATTCCTAATGCAATATATGCCCAAACGGATAGTTATTACTAAAAAAGAATAAAAACCCAAAAGCACGAACACGAGCAAGCAATATCGGTTTTCAAGACTAAAGAGGTATAATAAGAGAAAACGCCAGGGTATGGATGCATCGAGCTGACACGAGATAGGAACAAATACATGGTCAAATTAAAAAATTAAACGAAAATCATCGCCATCAATGACATGACAACATTTCGATCAGGGATTAGCAAGGCATGATTACAACATAGCAACACAGGCGCGAAAAAAAAAGACATTACAGAGTTATGGTAAATTAAAGGATAGTAAGACAGAAGAATGAAGAGAAACGAAAAAGTAAAAGAGCATTTGCCAAGAGCGGGGAACGGGAACGGGAATGGGTAGTAATGTGGGGTTGGTTAGGTGGTGCGTGGTGCGTAGTGCGTAGTGCGTAGTGGGGTGAAAGAGGCGCTGAAGGGGAAAGGGAGAGTGAGCCTCATGCCGAAACAGCATGCCACAAAAACACCTCGAGAGCCAAACAAGGGAGGGGTGAGGTAAATCAAGATTCAAAACGGAGAAAGACCAGGGAGATGATGTGGGCGAAGGGAAAAGCAGGGAGCCTGAAAATGCACTATCAAAACACACCCAACAAGCCATCGGTCAGCAGGATGAGGCTGTTTATGCACAACTCGTGATTTGTTAGGTTGTGGCATCCATGTCCAAGCTGAAGGCACTCGACATGTGGGGGAAGCTGCGACGCAAGGATCTTCTGGGATTGTCTGACGAATATGCCGAGTCGAAGACGGACGCGCCACATAGGCATGGAGATAAGGGTGACAATGGCGGGACGGAGGACGGGAGGGATAGAGTTTCACGGAAATTGGTGCAGCATGCGAGTAAGCATGCATATAAACTGCCGAAATAGGAGCGGGACGATTCGTGCTGGAGATGTGGTATCCCCAATTGATATGGAACCTTCATTCTCCCTGCCATGCCACAGTCTAGGGGTTGTTGTAACAGCTAAAGCATGCATTATTGTCATAATTACCGCCAACCAGCCGATGGAGGACAGTTGCCCCGGCACCCAAGCGACGACATTTGGGTTTGCTGGAGTAATCTGTATCGAGGTCTCGACTGTCAAAGAATCGATGGGTTCCAGGATATGCAATGTGAAGATCGGACATGCGCAGGAAGCATCGCAGTAGAGCAGGGATATCGCGGCAGGGGGGCACTTTGCAGGTTGACAATAGTGTCTGCGGGGAGAGGGGATGAGGTGGGTTGTCCGGGTATGGCGTGGCGGTTGAGCGATCGGGTCCAAGGGGTGCGCCAGCAGCCGTTGTTGAAAATACGCAGTAATGCGCAAACAAAGGCTGGGAGAGTGAGAGCTCCAAGCCCCGAAGGAGGGTCAGATGACTGAGACAGCCGAAGCTAAAAACTACCAAGGTGCTAACAGGGCCTTAAGTGGTTCAGGGGTGCAGAACACGTTGCCAGCCACTCCACAACCGGTCGTCAGGACAGGAAGCCCCATTTAACATTAGCTGGCAAGAATGGGTTCCAAGGTCTAGTTGACCCGTTCCACGTGGATTTAGCTGGCTAGAGCAGAGAAGGTCAACCCGCACCAAAATTTCCAGGACATTGTGACTCTTGTGAGGCCGAGAGGAGTAAGGATGTGTCAAAACTCGTATTTACTTGAACCTTAAGGCGACCGAAGGTGCAGGGCTGAGCGGTGTTCTCCGGGTTTTGGATATTTTCCCAGCCCTCCTTCTCTGAATTGGGAATAGGAGAAATCAGCCGACAGGGGAGGGTTTGCTGACTGGTTGAGGCATCGGGAATCGGGTCAGCAGTAGAGATTTGACGAGCTGGAATCTTATGATATGACGTGGAGCGGTAAAAGGTATGCCGGGAAAATGAAACGAGGGAAAAAAATTTAAAACGAAAAAAAAAAAAAAATTAAAAAAAAAAAAAAATTAAAAAAACAAAAATTAAAATAAAATAAAATAAAAAAGGGCATGCCAGAAAAAGGGATTTTTTGTCGCGATATTTTAGGCCCACAAGAGGCAGGGTGTGAGAAAGCAGCGTATTGCAATCGAGATGTTTTAGGATCCATATCGATGCGACAAGACGAAATTAACAGCCAGCTGCCAATATGACCTGTTTATATACATGAGTTTCGGAGGACGGCCAAGTAGATGAGAAATGGGAGGGCGAAATCGATGGCGAGGATTTAGACGAGGAGAATCATCCACACACACACGCGAACACACAACGATATCCCCATAGTGACGAATTATTTGGGTACCGGTGGAAGAGGACCCTTAGGAGGAGGCCCCGGGCAAGGAGGATATTGACTGGCGGAGGTTGTATAGGAAGGCATTGTGAGAGTTGGAGGACGCTGTTGTGCAGGAGACAGACGCTTGAAGATGTTGGGGAATGTCGAGGGAACTTTAGATATATTCGAGGGTGATTATCTGTAAAGAAGATTAAGGTGTAATTATCAAGTTTGGACTCTCGAGGACCAAGAGGCGGTTATATAGTATATAATTAGTTTAAGGAGCGTGGGAGGGAAATAATAAAAATAGTCCGATTTTTTATTCAGCAAAAAGATGGACGAAGAGAAGGAAGACGAGATATTTATGGCCGAGAAGAGCGAAAATTAAAGAAATAATACAAACGTCAGACAAGAATTAGGTACCCGGTATTTTATATTGCTTTTTTCCCTGTTTTCTTTCTCTCTTTCCTGCGCATTTCCTGAAATTTTCTGCCTTTATTGAGTATTGATATTTACTCTGGGCCAAGGTCCCATTACTTTCAAATAGGTGTCACGCCCGTACACAGGATAATAACGAGAGTATTTGGGCCTCTCCCCAACCCTTTTTTTGAATTTTACGCAGCTACAGGGATGCTTCATGATTCAAAAAAAAAAAAAAAAAAAAAAAAAAAAAAAAAAAAAGAAAAAGAAAAAAAAGAGAGAGGTACGTTTTTCACTGCGGCTTTGATTATTTATTATTTATTTACTTAACTATTTCTCAATTAAGGCGGATGCTGATGAAGTACTACCATCTGATGAAGCTAAGCTGCATCCCAGAATCCTGCATCCCCTGTCAGTGTAACTCCCAGCAGCCATGTGCAGGGCATTCGTACATGTTGAGTCCACACACAGGAGATCAATTCAATCAGAGAGAAGCCGTTCCATGTGAGAATATAACGCGCACATCTGCATCTCCACGTATTCATCATGCATACTATCTAATGATCAAAGGCAAAACAAAATAGTGACCCACATCCCCAGATTTGCCATCGGCTCTGATATCCAACCTTTCCCACGGTTGCGAGGTGGAAAGCGGTGCGACTCATCCTCTGACATAGGGTTCGGATATCCAACCGCGACAAAGCATTTCATCAGATGTGTCATGAATGGTTTGCAATGGGTATCATCATGCATGCTCCGAACATCTGCACACACATTTATCAGCCATTTGCCTCATCCCTGTTTGTAGTCTGCGCTAGCGACCTACTATCTCTGCAGGCAGCGATGTGACTGTATTGGCCGATATGCTCGCAAGGGCTGAATGCGCAGCATCAAGGCCTGCATGACCCAGAGTGCTGGGATCTCGGATCAGGGCTCTCAGGGATGGACGTCAGTGAGTCTGCAATTTTGCGTCGTGGTGGTGGTTGTGGTGACACAATGGACAGGGTTTAATCCTGTCCCTGGCCCTCCCTCCAAACATGGAAGGGCACAAATTGATCGTGGGTGAAACGATTCTTGTTGATTGCAAAAGATTTTTTCCTTCTCATCCTTCGGGAAATTTCCCGGTTTTCTTTCTCTTTTTTTTCCCCCTTAAGTGGGCGTGAAGTTGAAGCAACGAGGAAGCACAATTAAAATGAAGCTCCACTGTGGCGGTGGCCTTTCTCCCTCCAGGATTCTCTCCGCCATCTCCATCGTTGCCCAGCGAGATCGTGATCGTCCTCTTTGTGTTGCCAACCCACACCATCCGCGCCGCACGCCATGCGCCCTGCCAGAGGCTGAAACCTAGCGTATGGTGTCAACTCGAAACACCCAAACCCAATTCGGTTATTTACAGCACTAGTAATCTGTCTGACTCTACCAGTAGCGAAAGTGGAAGGTTGACCTGATTTCACCAACGATCACGGTCCAAAGAATCGAACTCGTTCTGCCACAAACTGAAATTTTCCGGATGAGCCGCACTGCGCCAGCGAACGTCTCAACGACGCTAGCGAGGCACTGAGTCTTCACTGAAGCCAGAAGCGCTGAGATAAAAATACCTGTGTGTCCGATTTCTTTGAGAGAGAAAAACTGGCGAGAATCTCTGTGACCCTGTGATCTAGAATCCCCACTCAATGAGCTTCCCGTTCTCTGTTTTTCACCGTGAGGAGGTCAAGGGCTTCAGAACAAACAGCACTCCAATTATTTACATTCAACATTTAATTTTGTCTACGTCGTATCTTGAACAATCATCTGTGTTAAAAGCGGTCTGACTGGCTGAACCGAATTCCCACAAATAATATCATACGCTCACTAGCTGCAATATCCTGATATCAAAACTTACGTTTCCTATTTTGGGGGAAGATTGCTTTTCTTCGGCATATTTATATTTTGTTGTATCGCCTTGCAAAATGTACCCTTCCATCCAAAATCGATCGAATGCATGGTGCAAACAAATCTATAAATGGATTGATATGCGAGCATTTGCGGGAGAGCATAAAACGAACAGAGACTCATGAGTGTGTTATCATGGCACAATGGAGGCAATGCCTTGCACGTAAAAATCGAGGCCAGATAAACAGGAACGAGGAATTAAACATGCTCTCCCGTTAAGATTGCGGGCGACTGACACTCCGTGGCAGGAAAATACTCCTGCAGATTACCTTAGCCTCCAGCTCATTGCGGCGGTACGTAGATGCCTTGATGCCGAGAATGGGCCGCATAGAAATCTTTTCTTTCATTCATTTTTCCCCCTGGTCCTCCCTTCCTTTTCTTTGTTTTCCAAAAAGCAAACTGCCCTAGCCATGAAACCCCGAAGCCAAAGGTCAACATGCATTGAATCTGGGGATTAAATATTGACGGCGAGATGGGCAAAATGATGGTCTTAGTCTGTGTGGGCCTTGCAGCTAGCGTATGTCGTCCTGAGTCACACACTTGATAGAATGAATATCTGATATTGTTCCAATCTTTCTGCTGGTGTCGTTTGTTCGCTAAGCTCGGTAAATCATGAAGCTGAACAAGTGTGCAACCTACGACAGCTCCTGTATAACCGACGGCTTTATTATTATTATTATTATTATTTACACGCCGCATCATCAAGAAATGGTTTGTAGACCGAATTCAGCTATAATATCATCATAAAATCAATGCAAGCCTCCATGCATGGATCTGCAACTTCCCCCCGTGAATCCCCATCTACCTTATTCCCTACATGGCCCAACCGTGGTTTACAAGTCCTAACCCTGATTCGAGAAAGGTTCCATGCATCTAATTTGCTCCTGCCGCTCTTCCTCTATATTTAGAGGCGCCGAGATATCTGGTTGAACAAAAAATCGGTCAGCGGGTAAAAGTCGCCGACCAGCCAATATATCTACATTATGGAAATTGTCTTCGTCAGGTAAGTTCAATGAACCGTGAATGATGTCCGTGAACGTCAGATAGCATTCTAGAATGTTTCTAGCTCCCAGAACCACCAGTCCGCTCCATCGATCCCTATCCCCTAGACTCAAAATTCATTACCTTGCATTGTAGAACCAGCCTCGAAAGACAAAACAACGACGCTTACGTGCATCACCTCCCTCATGGAGACTTAATGTTGTGTTCTAATAGCCATGCACGTACTGGATGGCGTTTAGCCGTGTGACTGGAAACAGCGGGGACACAACATAAACCAGGCTTCAATAAATACAAGGGGCATGCAGACACTCTTGAGCGTAAAGTTGAAGGGAGAAAGTCATTCACCTGGTGGCCAAAACTTAAAGCTCAATTCCTGGCAAGCTAAACTAAGTTTCGGAGCAAAATCTGGCGCTGATATTGCTATAAACTTACAGAGTTACATGAAATAATCTCGCTACATCGAAAAAGCCATTCATTAAAGATAAAATGCTCCATTCTGACGCTGGCAATACGACTATCAATGATAAATTTATGTACCGTTTCTTGACTCTACTCACATTTTAGATGCAAGGCATGATTCTAAAAGCAGGGGATGTCCCTGCGTTCCAATTTCTAAACGTCTTATTGTTAAGACGTGACCATTTGTTCGTCTTGCTGAAGGCGCTACGATGAGCTTGGTTGCTTTGAAGAATTCTATTCTTCCTCCAGTTGTGTCCAGTTATTTCGTCCACAGCGGCCAGGTTTCCAATGCAATGGAGCAGATCCAAAGTGATTACCTCTCAAAAGCCTGACTTGCGAGAGTGGTTTTACGCGGATTCGGTATATGTTCCAGGAGTTGAAGGAATTCCTCTTCCTCAGGGCCGGGGCAATGAGAGCTGTATGGGACTCCTTACATTTTTTTTTCGTTCCTCCCTCGAGTCACAGGTTTAGACTGCTTAAGGTGATTCGGGATTTTTCACCTTTGGCTTCGCAATGGACCCCAGTCAGATTAACATACAAGCCGCGAATATAACTAAACGAGATTGGCTGGATGTTAAAGAAATATCAGAAATGGCGGGGAGAGTGTATTTCAAGCAACATACACACTTCATAATCTCGAGTCATAAGTCATTCAAGACGCCGCTAGAATATAAATGAGAATTGACAAATGCTCTAACCACTTCATCCTTCTTGTATAGTCTAGGGCACAATCTCTTTCTCCCAGAATACCAGAACTTCTATATCCTGCAGCTTCTGAGACTATTCCGCTTGCCATTTTCACGGCCACATAGCCTCCAACAAATGGTTGGATTTTTCTCCGACCTAACTATGCGGCTTAGACAACCTTAACACTTTTTCAACCTTCTTACAAAACATTAGCGAGCCATGTACGGCGTTGCAAGGTGGGCCATTTTGGACAAGTGGTATCTGGCGATGGATTTCAGCCAGCCGAGTTCATATTCGATATTCGCAATTTACGATAGGGGTCGGAAGACTAGATAGAGAAACTCCCTAATACGCCGTTGACAAGGCAGTTCTCGACATTGCGGCGCATGCCTGGAACTTTATAACCGACTTTGACTGGGGACTCAAAGATCTGCCGTGAACATTACCAGAGCTGAAATCTGGAAGCATTCATTTTCTTTCTCTTCGATTTCTCAATATTTGCTCCGCATAAGTTGAGCTTTGTTCTTTAGCAGCATTCAAACCAATTCCCGCTCCCTGAACATCTAAGCAGCTGTGATGGAAGGATGAGCTGTGTTGCACATATCTCAGTAGTATTTTTCTGCCAACACACCAACCAATTCCCCAGACGCAGAAAAACTGACAAGGATTGCTGAAGCCATGGAGCATTCCACCTTTGCTTTCCTAGAGTCTAGACAGGGGTTGTCCATTAGGTTTCAGTTACTGAGAATTTCGTGGACAATACACCAATCACAAGGATAACAGCGAGAGTTGTTATGAGTCGTAGTTATAAACTCATCACACAATTCTGGGATGCAGTTTATGAGATCATATTGACCACCAATTTGTGAAGGCGGCCTTGGTTCTCTGATTATTTTTATCATTAAGCTGCCGGAAGACTGAATTGCTCTTAAAACAATTCATTGAAACGTATATCTATTGCCTCTTCTTGTTTCCCTATTTATTCCTGGATTCGCTGGGTGTGACTGTCCCTATTGGCTCTTCACTGCCTATTCAAGACTTCGTCCTTACGCTGAGATAGCTGGTAGTCTTTTTCTTGCTTACAACAACCCTCACACACGGTCATGTCCATATACAGAGTGCAGAATCGGTGCTCCGTGCTTCGTGCAAAATTGGACGTCTAAATAAGCTCCGACTTGATATTAGGTAGGCTTGAGAAATATCACGAGGTATGTCATCCCATTTCTTGATATAACTATACCAATGTGATGTTGTTTGTAAACTCTATGTTTCCGGAGGGTTGTCAGTTTCGGAAAGCACTGTAGAGTAGCTGTCTCGATGGTTTGTTTAGTCTCCATCAATATCTGTCAGTCCAGTATTCCGAGGATATAATGGTAGTAGTGGATGAAGACACTATTTGGCCTCCGTAGTGCTCGAACTAAACAAAGAGCGAGTCATAATATATAAAAGATAGCCAGGCCCTCGGCGTATATCATTCAGAAAGTGGACATGCCGATTGAATGAAGCCCGAAACCAACAGGAAATATCGCCACCCATGTTCCATTCTTTCCTTCCGATGTTAAGTGCCTCTCTAGAGATGCTTCACTGGCCCAGGTCCGGGGGAGAGATACCTTGTAGGGAATCACGGGGATATTATACGGAGGATTCTCGAAGTCAGCTACGCGCAGTTGAGGGCGGGATGTTTGGGATTTTTATTGTAAAGGGCAGGGGTGAAATACACCGATGAAAAATTGGCGCAGCATCGGCAACGGATCTCTTAATGACCAAAAATGCCAGGGGGCTGATAGCATACACATACATAACTCTAAAATGATTTCACAGAGGAAAGAAATAAATACATGAACTTTTCCTGTACCTGTGTCTGTCATGTACAAATACAAGAATGAAAGGGAAAAGCCAGCATCCAACATTCTCCACAAAAACAGCATGCAGAGCTGTTTCAAGGACGTGAAGCTCCCGGGTTGTTGGCGAAAATCCGCATTTGCACAGGCCAGGGAGTTCCCTGATTTAAGTTGAATCACATAACACGCTGAAAACATGAGGACTGGAGTTTCGGTTGATGGATGGTGTGCGGATAAATGGAAGAAACGAAAATAGGATTCGGGTCGCGCAAATTGATATATTATATGTATGACATAAATGTAAATGCGGAGCGTCTTGGGTATGCCTCAGATGAATCTCATACAACACGATGCATCGATTGAAAGGCTGAATCCAGAGTTTTAGTCCAACAAAAGCATGGTAGAGGTATGAAAAAAACTCACTCCCGGGGATGACCCAAAGAAAGAAGTAAGATGGCCTTGTATAAAGTGGAATGCGAGGCCTGGAGGGGCACCTCTCGTCAACTCGGCTCGGTACATGCATATGTAAGGAATCGACAATCCATTCTGTGCATGGAGAACCTCAGTATGGCGTCATAACTATATCTAGAACCACTCAGAGACGTGAATTGTTTGCGCATCCTGCAATTTCGAGCATGTTGATGTCACACAAATCACACAACGCCTCGATTTTGAAATTTAACCCAAAGACCGGCACATCAGACTTGAATGAGGCATCCCGGGTGGAAGGTGAAGGTATTGAATGATGCAGACCGATGTTTTATGCCTTGCCACAATGAACACGTAGCCAGCTAGGGATGCCCTAAACTGTGTGCCCTTTTTCAGCTACCACCTTCACACCGAATGACTTTCACACATGACTCGTTAGTTGAGCCTTGGAGGAACCGGGGTTATGACGGTGCAAAAACGTAGCTGATGAATGAAGCTGCATCTGTGCTTAACCCTCTTCAAATTCCTGAGGGGCCTGTGTAGAGATCCATTCTTCCATCAATGCTTGCCCAGCTGGTACTGTATCGGGGTTTGACCTCGCTCTATCGCCCTTCCGGGCGATGAGAAGACACAATATCCTTTCTCCTATTATGAACCCTTTATAGCTGGTGGTTAAGCGTGGTTTCTTGTCTTGGGGTTCCGGAATGGGTTCGACCTGGGGCTTTTTTCGCTTCGTGACATGCGTGTCCTCACCATCGTTATCGGTTTCCGCATTAGAATCACTTTCTGTACAATCCCCTCTTCTTCTTCGCCGTCGGCTTGTTGATGACTGGATGCCTTCATCAGCTGCATGGATATCCTGCAAGTTGATCGGGGTTTCCTCGTCGCTCTCTGGTAAAATAGTCGATATCGTCAAAGAGTCATCGGTAATGGGGATCGGAGTGTCATCAGTTCCAGTTAATTTCCTTGAGTTACTTTGGATTTTGGGCGGCTGATCGTCGAAAGATTTTAGTTTTGTAATAATTGAGTGGGTGGTGCCTCCCGCACGAAGGAAAATAGAAACCTCAAAATCATCTATTGCGACGTGTTAGCCATACAGTAGTTGCAGGAAGCCTCATTAGTAAAGTAAACTAGAAAATAATACCCTCTGACAGGACGTCCTTTACGGGCTTCGACTTCTTTGTGCGAGCTCGTTCAGTTTCCTCTCGCAGCTTCGGAAGGACTAAGGGCTGTATGCTCTTGAATACACGGGGTAGAGCTGGGTCGCGGGTATCAAGCAACCAGCGTGAATCGACCGGATTCTCAAGATATATTCTGCATTCAAGCACTGAGTATTTGCTGACGCGAAGGTAGCGTCTGATTGGAGGCATCGTGAAAAGGCTCGTTGAAAGTGAAGGAGCTGAGAAGCATCAATCTAGTTGACACGGCTTCTATGCTGGGATGCTTTCCTTCTTCCTCACCCGCAGCTCAATCTCGGCTCGATTCATTCATCCATTAAGCAGCTTAATTCATTCAACTAACGCTCGATCACTTTGTACCATTGCAGTAATGCAGTAAAATGAACGTGCATCATATATATGTTTGTCTTGTTTGTCTTACAAAGTCACTCTAGGTATGTGTGCCTAACTTGACAGCCAAGCTTTGACGCAGTTCACCACTTTCTCGCGGGTTACAATTGAACGTGGTTCGAATTTTTGCCCAGGAATTTTGAACCACCTGCCATGGTCCAACTTTGTCAATTAGAGTTGACTATACTCCGTAATTAATACAGTATTCCCTCAACGCCATCCCAACCTGTTCGTTTTCGTGAATTTACTACCTCCTCAACCTGTTCTTGTCTATGGGTTTGCCAGGTCTTTCACACTCGATTTGTGAAAGGATGTTCACCGTTGATTCTCCATCATTCAATGTTCCATCTTGAACTCCTCCGGCCTCCGTGACCACTATACTGTGTGACTCATGCGAATTAAAATTGGACAAAGATAAGTCGAACCCATGGGGATTACCTGCCAGTGCGTGTCTGTGCTTCGGCCATGCTTCCCCTCCTGTGTACGACGGCCGACGCCGAGGGTTGTTGGATCGTTTGAGAAAAGTATAGAGAGATCCGTATGAGGAAAAGCAGGATGTCATCACTGCTATACTGCTTTCGATCATGGCCCAAAATACCTTCCAGCTAACAGGAGGATGGACACCAGGGTAGTTGAGAGATATAATTCTGATGAGGGAGGTTGCAACGATGATGAGTCCCAACGAGAACAGGCATATAATGCCTAACTTCTGAGTCCAAGGTAGTCGGGATTTTGCAATGAACGAGATTGGAAGTGCCATAACTGGGGTTTTTGACGGGGAATTAGCCGTTATTTTCGAAGAAAGTGTTTAAAGAAAATAGTGAGAAATGCTAATGGCTGTTCGGATAAAAAATAAATGGTAGTTTACTCATAAAGTCAGTCACAATGTCAAGAGCCGCCCCAGTCTTCAAAGTAATATTATTACGCCGTATGTCATCTGAGTCCGCGCAGGGACCTTTTTCCAGTTAGCGACTGGGTTCATAAACTCGACACTTATGGTTTCGTGAAATCTCTGTACCTAAGTAGAACTTGACACAAGTCGCTGGTTCAAGTGATAAACTGGTCAAGCCCAATACAACGGTGGTAATAGTAACAACCCACCAAGGTCTTCGAAAGCCAGGAATATTTTTAAATATCCTCCACATCAAAGCCAAAAAGCTGGCCTTAATTGCGTAAATGATGCAGTTATAAAGCACATCGACCGTGAATGATAATTTCAACATTGCGTTAAAGTGATGATGCCATCGAGGTGATTCGACAACAAGTGTCTCATATGCCTCAATATGATGAATGCAATATAGGGCAACGATATCTATGGCCAAGAGGAATGCGTATCCGAAGGTCGCGAATGTGTCTTCCCAGAATAGTCGACGAACAAACCGCAACCGAAACCCCAAACGAATTGCCATGAGAACCGTACATATTGCAAAGAAGGGCCACTCCGCAAGCTAGAGATAGAAAGAGAAGTTAGAAAGATTGAAAGCAAATCGACAGAGAGAATTGTTATCGCTTGCCACCAGTGTTCTTTTGGACAAGCCCCCAGCACCGGTGACCCTTGCCATTCTGCCTGATGCTTCTCAAGCATTGGCTTCCATGAAGTCGAGATCGCCCCTGGCAACTTCAGGCGCACAGAGACAGTATCAGGGGCATCCTTTGTTTCGCCCGTAGGAGAGAATTTGTCTTCCCATCAGGGAAAGTAATTAGATGAGGATGTTAAGAGGACAGGGAAATTTCGTGGGATTGCTGTGGACTCAGCACAGATGGCGCTGTAAAAAGTTTTGACTGACACTAAGAATTTAAACTGAAATACTCATACCAGCATCAAGTAATGCTGTTCAATCTCTTGATCAAAGAGGTATTACCTTTCGGAGGGTTTCAGGGGTCATCAATGCCTGTGGCTTGCCCACTAGCTCACTAAACATTGCTCGATGGCAAAAGCAATGACATTTCCACTAGTAATGAGATTTCAGTTTAAATTCTTAGTATGAGCCAAAACTTTTACATGAGCCTCCGCACCGAGGATGAAATACGCTCAGGCATTGAAGATGAGGCCTCATGAGATGGACACGACCATGGCCATGGTCAGGCCAAAATCCGCCACTTTGGTCGGTGCACATGCATTTCAAGACAAATGTGGATATTTTGAACTTTAATTGATCAGATTTGCTTGGTTTTCGGTGAGAGTTATATGAAAAGTTATCTGGTTTTGCCTGAAGGACACAAATGTCATGACGGCCAATTTATTTCTCCTTGATCAATCGGCCTAGTGTGGCTCCTCAAAGAATTCGTTGTCGCAGTGAGGGCCTGATCATATTGGACTTGGCTGGCAATTGGTCTTTGTGTGGACAAGTCAAATAACTTCATATCTGCGAAAAATCATTATTCGAATCGAGTCCTCATCATCATTAGTAGTTGTTTTGGGGGATCGCTGTCAAGAGCGATCACCGCTCCTCAGTCCGCTTTTCGACGGAATCCTTCAAAATTTAATTGATACTTAACAGACCACTCACATCATCTATGGGCGGGAATCGTCGAGATTACAAAGTTAAATGCATGTTCATCGTGAACATTCGGGCTATAAAGCCCCCGAAGAAGGATTTGGGTTATGGACTGCTGTTCCTGGCTGTCATGCAAATTTGTTGCCCATACCAAACATCACAACTATGACTGACATTGCAGAACTAGATAACTATCCTTTACTAACCCCAATTTGCCTGGAGGTGGACGATTTTATCAAAAGGTTTAGAATAGATGGCGTTGCTTGAGTTCAGGTACTGAGTGAAATATCCAGGCAAACCCGAGGGCAGCGTCCAATCGATGACACCCTCCAGATCGATCAGCAAGCCAGAGGCCCATATCGTTGGAGGTATTGGATTGGGTGGTTCGTCCCCTCTATATCACAATGGCGCTGGTGGTTGTTGAGCGTTTTTGCTCCAGTGGCCCAATACCTATATTGCCACATTTCACCTCGCTTGGCCGACGAGCAAACTGTTGAGAGGTTGAGAATTATTTCCATAGTCTTATAGAGATGGGCAGGAGACTGGCCATTTTGTTCGATCTCATAGTCGCTCACTCAAGAGGCCACACGAAAAATATGTAAATCTCATTGCATACCTCACATCGACAGGGCCCGGAGTTTGAGTTAAAAAAAAAAAAAAAAAAAAAAATATGGGTTCATTTTCCCAATATTCCAGCAGCGGAATCGCAGAAGGGAAGAGAAGCATGCGCGGGATGCCTTTGAATACAGCCATGAATATAAATAGGGGGAACGCATTATGAGTAACATCTACTCCGTATTTACTTTTCAATCCTAAATAGCCAACCAAGATGCTCATTATGGCCATTGTGTTACATAATGCTTTGACTCTGTGCAAACGGCGGGACAGATGGAATTGTCCTAGACTGGGAACGATTGAAGTACTGGACAGGAGAAATGAAGAAAAGAAAAGAGTAGACACAAGAGAAAGAGGACAGGTGTCCGGGTTTCTAAGTGTGGTGAATTAAATTTCAAGGGCCTGGGCCAATGTCTATTGGCTCCCACATTCGCTTTACATCCATACATAGATGTTATATATCTAGATTCGACAAACAAACATATCGATGATCTGAAGGTCTGGAGATATATAGTTTCAATACTACCTACCTGCCTGTCTGCCTACGTATGATATGAAGTTCGGGTGATTTACAGATTGTTCTGTGCCTCCACACCAGCCATAATGAAGATATAAATAAATACCACTATTCATACTCTGAATATTCAGAGATTCTTGCAGATTATATCTAACCTCGAAATTTTTTTTTTCTATATTATGAAATATATCAATGATTTAACTTGATGTTTTGAAACATTTTTAAAAGATAATTACATATGTTCATAAGTCACAAGTGAGTGACATTTTCAATGAAATACTTATGAATGGTGTATAAACTAGAGATAAGATAGAAAAATCAGAGAGAGAGAGAGAGAGACTTGATATGTTCGTTTTAAATTGATATGATTACATTAGATTTTTTCTTGGATAACTCTGTGAAAGCCCTGGAGCTTACTATGAATTCTGTAAGTCGATCGGTTTAGATGTCAACAGGACTGGACAGAAGTTCAAACTCTCACTTGGTTTGCTGGTGGCTTTGAAGGTCAAAGACAGACCATATCACGTGGACGATATGAACAAGAAAGTGGAACCTCGGGCACCTCCCAGCACGATTGTGATCAATACGTCTTATGCGGTGGAGGAAATCGACTACCTCATTTGTATTATTAGCAACCTCCGTCCTCCATCAATAGAGCCGTGCCGTTCACTCTCAGGCTGGTGAACAGTGTCAGAAACACTCCCAACGATTTCAGAGCTTCTCCAGCTCCTTTCCAGGTGCACACCTGAGTATATACGTTCATATTTGTTGGATAGCAAAATCAAATCGGTTCGCGGAAATAGGTACGCCATAACCTGTGCACAACAAACTCAACGCAAACCTAGCCATATATGAGGGTGTCTGGCGCGTGGGACTGAAGGAACAGGAGGGAGGAAAGGACTAGAACAAGGGAGCTTGTCAAAGGAAGGAAATAAAAGGAGAAAAACAAACTATGGTATTCGAACTACATATTTGGGGCCCAGCATTTGGGCTGCCTTCGATCGACCCACAATGTATTTCGATGGTTGCATATTTTGCTTTGGCCGTCCCCATGAAGTTAAGAGGTTCTGATGGGGAACAGGAACAGTGGGTGTTGGTAGCGGACAGCGATCCTGGTATGGTTCCAACTAGTGAGTAACGACCTTGTCATTTCACATATCAGATTCGCTGCTGTTTTCCGCCTTGCTCGCTTTCCTTTTAAGGTGTATGCGGCTTATCCGTCTCCTTTACTGATTAAAAATACTATGAGACCAGAATACGGATGCTAATTAATGGGTATTTGCAGATGAACTACCAGCGTTATGGACCGGAACGAGGTGGATCAGTCGATTCAGGAACATCGTAGCATACCTAAGCCAATACTCTGACGGAGAATGGGACTTGGATCGGTGGATGGGTCAAAAAGAGAAAGCAGATTGCATAGCGTATGTGCATGTTTCTACCAAATCTAATTTCATTTTGAAAGCAAAGCATATGAATTGCATTACAGGACTTAACAGTGGCGATAACAGGTTCTCATCCTTTCTCGAATCCCAAGGCCAGCCATTGATTGACCTTTCCTTATACGTGTCGAGTGATAATTATAACAATGCGACTTCCCAGGCCTATGCATCGTTTCTCCAATGGCCCAGCCAATGGATAACGCCACCACAAATTCGAAAACTGGCTAAGAAACGCACAGAATATCTCGGTCTTACATCCCTTGATGTCGATGTGATGGTGGAGGAGCAGAGACATCAAGCGCGGGATCCCAGTAGCCTAGCAAGCAAAATCCCCAAAAGCCTTATCCGCAAGCGCCAGGCGACAGTGAGCGATATTTTAAACAGGTCTTCAAAACAAAACCAGATACGACTGGAGGGCATGGCCAGCGCATTTGTGGCACCTCTAGAAGAGCTTCTGGGGCGGAAAGGGTATCTGTTATCATCGGAAATTCCGTCGAGTCAAGATTGTTTGGCGTTGGGTTATCTCTCCCTGGCCTTAGTTCCAAACCTTCCAAACCCGTGGTTGAGAGATGCTGTCACGGAACACGGACCGCAATTAGTGGCCTATGTAGCCCGATTACGGTCGCGGTGTTTTGGCGATGTGCCAGTGGAGGTGTCCATGGCGTTTTCAGAGAGCGTGGGGGTGGCATCGAGCCTGCCTTGGCGAGCTCCGGAGCTGGTTAGCCTTGGAGCAATGGGAAAGCGGGCGTTGGAAGGGATAGCGGATTCGATACCAATTGTGCAGCAGATCAGAGCCAACGCTAGATTGCAACGGGCGGGAGAGCAGGCGCAGGGCCCCTGTGAGGAGAAGGAGATAGCAGCGAAGGTCGCCACGATGCAGCGACGAGAGTTATATACGTCGATAGCAACTGTATTGGCTGGCCTAGGGATGTTTGTGGGATATGTGTTGTATACGGGGTTCTTCCAGGCCGAACAGGCTGCTGAAGAAGAGGAAGACGCGGACGAGGAGGGTGAGGAGGAGGAAGATGAGGAAGTAGAGGGAGAAGAAGAAAAGAAGGCGGACTATCCAAAAAGCAAGCTCCAGAATCCAGCTCAGGAGGAGCCTGCCGGTGATACCCAGAAGCCCATGTCGCCATTGGGAGAGGCGGGATCCATGCTGGGGATTTAGTTTGGATGTTATCAACTTCTTGCTGCGCGATCCATTGGGCGTATTATGTATCATCTACGTTGTACATCTCCCTTCTTTCTATTTTCCCTGCTCTCATTAATTCCTCATATCTTCCAAGGTACTTTGAACCCACTTTTTGATTCGTCACAGAAAAAGGCAATTCTATGCTGACTCAGCACTTCTGACCAATCACCAGCGTCCCCGCGGTGCTGAGTCAGTTATTTTCCCTTTGCCCCCAAGGTCCCCGCGTTGCTGTGATCTGCATACCGTACGATACCAGATTGCGAGCTGTCTGCGGCGGGGAGTGGCGCAATATCGCGTATTGCGCATGACACTCTGTTACGCCGCATCCACTTTGTGGGCAACCATCAGCGGGCGGCTCCGCTTTATATAGGGCATTCAGACAAAAGACCATGCGTGGGGTGTTGCATCTGAGATTCCCGCCCGATCTCAGGCTCTGTGTGTCTATATTTATTGTCCTTTCCATGCCATCCCAGCCCTAATTCCCTGTATTACCTCTGTTCTGCACGGTTTTCAGCCGGGCGTTCGGCTTTGATACCACATTCGCTATTTGGGATTTCTGGTCACTCGCTGTTCATACCCCCTCCATTGAATGTTCTTTCGTGGCCCTCGTTTCGCCAGCCATGTTACCTTCCGCTTCTCTCGCAGCTCTCCTGCCCCGCGCCGAAGAGGGCAGTGCTTCTGATGCCTGTGATACAGGAAATGAGTTTGATGGCCGTCTGGGCCTGCGTATATCCGCAGTTTTTGTAATCCTGATCGGTTCCTCCTTTGGTGCCTTGCTCCCTGTTTGGGCTCGATTCGCGTCTCCCAAGCTTGGAAAAATGCCAATGAGTGTCCTCCCTTGGGCTTTTTTTGTTGCAAAATACTTCGGTTCAGGTGTCATTGTGGCGACAGCTTTTATCCACCTCCTTGCACCCGCCCATGAAGCTTTGACCAACCGCTGTTTAACAGGGCCCCTTACTGCATACCCCTGGGTGGAAGGGATCACGCTTATCACAATTATCGTCCTTTTCTTCACTGAACTCATGGTCATTCGATTCGCTCGCTTTGGAGATGGACATATTCCCAAGGAGATTGAAAACGGTTCCCAGTCGCCCAGCCAGGTCTCGCATTCCCAAGACCAGCAGCCGGAAATTGCACCTTCCGATAACACACAAGACCATATGGGCCAGAATCACGAGCATCTGGCGAATTCGTCTTCTTCCAACGAGAACAACAACAACAACAACAACAACCACTCCCGTCTTACAGAGAAAAGATCGCTCCACAACCACGTTCAAGACCATCACCACCATTCCCACAGTCATGGTCTCCCTTCCCTCGTAGTAGATTACAGCGCGCAGCTAACCTCCATCTTCATCCTCGAATTCGGCATCATTTTCCACTCAATCTTCATCGGCCTCACTCTCGCCGTCGCCGGCCAAGAATTTGTAACTCTCTACGTCGTGCTAACCTTTCACCAAACCTTCGAAGGTCTAGGTCTAGGCTCGCGTCTCGCAACAGTCCCCTGGCCGCGCTCCAAGAAACTAACACCATACCTGCTTGCCATCGCCTTCGGCCTCTCTACTCCAATTTCCATTGCCGTTGGCCTGGGTGTTCGCATGACATATCCGGCGGAGGGGCGGACTACGCTGATAGTGAATGGCGTCTTTGATTCGATATCTGCGGGCATCCTGATATACACAGCTTTAGTGGAATTGATGGCGCATGAGTTTGTATTCAGCCCCTCGATGCAGCGGGCACCACTCCGGGAGGTGCTGGCTGCGTTCGGACTTCTCTGTTTGGGCGCAGGGCTGATGGCCCTGTTGGGAAACTGGGCTTGATATTTATTTTTATTTTTATTTTAGATGATATACTACTTTAAAACGGTTATCATCGGTTGGTCTTTTTATTTTGACAAAAAGTTCAGTTGGTACATATATATATATATATATTGGGATTTAATATGGTTTGGCCAGGTTTGGTTTGGAGAAGGGAAAAAAAAGAGCATTGATTTTATGCATACCTTTTCATTGATCTACTCGTGATTTCGAAAACATTTTTCCTTTTGTCTTGGGGCCAGCGGGGCCGGGTTTCTGCTAGCGATGAAGTCCATATTTGATCGGCGACGTTATCCCTTTGTATTTCTTTCCCCCTGTGCCTGCGCTGTGTGACTTCGTTATGTGGCATCTACCTGCATCTAGCTATTCTAGGGTCAGTGGCTTAGTGGACCGAATAAGATTTTTTCGGGCATTTGCTTTCTTTCCCTTGGAATTCCATTTTTAGACAATCGTCATAGACATTTTTTAAGAGGAGGATTCTTGATACGGTGAATAAAGAATCTGGAAGACATACATGTAGTAAGTTGCCCATCTTTCTGCAAAGCACAAGAATATATCTAACTTTAAATTTCTTGTGTATCTTCATCAAAACAGCCCTTTTACTTCACCAGCATTTATTGCTGTAATGACATGTGTTGTTGAATTTGTGGAGGATAATGTGGTTTTTCATTCAAACTTATAAGGGTAAGCAATTGCATCATCAAGAACAATCAGTTCTATCAATCTGCTATCTCTTCTTTTAAAAATTTGAACGACTTCGGACTCCCGACTAGTGTCACCTCTAATACTCTGTGCGGTATCTCTACGGAAGGGCTTCTTTGTTCTGAATAGAAAGACAAGAATGTGCTTTTACTAGTGGCAGCAGTTGATACGACAAAGCCACATCGGTGAATGTGTATATGGAGACTCAACTTGCAAACTCAGCAAATAGTACAATTGACGATATTTTTGAACGAGTAAAGGGAATTCTAACTGTTCCCAATGACTCCAATCAGCATATGAATTGTGTTGATATATAACTCATAGAGCACATTCTGGGATGCAATTTCTCTATAGATCTCTGAGCTAGAGTGGGAAGAGAGTATAAATGAAATATGAAATGAGGAGCAGGGATTGGATTTCAGAATAAAGATCTGATTGCGCAATTGGTAATACAATATTTTACCCTGTGAGAAATTAGATGTTGAGAGGGCCTAATTTCAATTTCCGTTGCATGTGCCGTGCGTGTGTTGTTTCATCATTGCTAAACCCTAGGTCAGCATCAGATCCCTTTGCTTCTCAGAAATGGAACCTGATCAGGAAGTTGGTATGTTTTGAGGATGATTAGAGGGGGGGAGGTGGGTTCCTGGAGGTAGATGAGAGGTGAGAAATAAAGTACCTTCATAGACCATATCTATTGGAAAATCCTTGTTGGACATAAAAGAATTCAAACGATATATCAAGCAGAGTCAGCCAAGTAGTAACAAGTAGTGAACTACTTTAGTTAGTTGTTTTGATTGGTCAAACGACGACGCACGACCACATGACACGCTGTTATGTTACGTCATCACCTGCCGCCAACCCAAACAACGAGACTTTGACAACATCAACAAGACACCATCACTCATCGGGCCTTGGACATTTCCTGCGTACTACAGAGTATACACTCGATACTGGCTATTTAGAGAGTCTGAGTTGATTGATATAAACCTAACAACTAACAATCATATCTTACATTCCTTTGTCCCTAGTATTCGTTCCAGCCCACCAGTCATGGCTGAGTCTTCTGGCGTCGATACTTCGCCTATTTCGCCTGTCGAGCGACGCAACTCGCTCGAGAAGTATCTCCAACACCGTCCTGGCCAGCAGGATTTGAAAGAAAGACACATACTTCTCGACACAAATGTTGCTCCGTATGTTTCGCTCTCAGCCGTTCCTCCCCCCAGAGATCGAGGGGCCCTACCCCGCTAACACCTCACGCTATTTGGCAGGTCCCTGCAAGCAGCACAACAGGAGCTAGCCCGCCAGAAGGCAGCAGACAGCCTCAAGAAGCATCTGGAGAAAAGGCCTGACCGTGAAGACCTTGTGGAGAGTAGGCATTTATAGCGAACCCTGCACCGGCTTCCCAGCAATGCACAGCTACCTAACGCTCAATATTAGGAAACATCCTTCCGTCCTCCACGGCTGCTCCGGCTCTCCAGGCCCATGCGCGTGAGCTAGAAAAACACATGCTGGCTGATAACCTGGAACATAAGATTCAGAGCCGTCCCAAACCTGAAGAGCTCATTCATCGTGGCATTCTGGATGAGGATGAAGACCCCACACGCCCAGCTCAGTAGGGTATCATGGCCAGGTTTGGTATACTACAACAAATCTAAACCAGTCAATCGATGATGGGCTAGCGGGATGAATGGAGTTCGTTTTGTTTCATAATTCTGTACGTGTCTACTGGCTTCGCTACCAGCGTGGGACCTTAACGTCCCACATCCAATCTGGGATGCATTGGTTTTCAGAATTCGACATTCGGATGATTTGCTCATTCTCTACTCGACCATGTTCTAAAGTTGGGGCCTTTTGATTTCATTTCACTTGCGTTATTACGGGTTATGCCTTCGGGATGACCAAAGGCAACGGGATTGAAATGCGATGGTTTAGTACTAGAGCAACCAATCTGTAAAATGATTAACTGAAGCATGCTATCGCAAATGGATTTTCATCATTAATCATTATTATTTGTTCCCCAAATGATCAGCGTTCACAATGGATACGCACTTCGTCTTGACGGCGTGTAGAATTTTATCCCTTAAGCCATATACTTACTACCATCATGTTTCCAACCAGGGCACATTAACACAAGGCCATCACAAGAGCCGTATTTAAACCACACCTACGCGGTCCATTGTATCTTAGCACACACAAGTAAATTAATTACTCTTTCCCGAATTCATGACTCCTCTGGGCTCCTGGAGCAAAATAATTATCCATCATATACGCATCGACGAGACCAAACATGACACTGATCGGAAATAAAACACGATCTCAATAGCTCTCGACCTGAGCAGGGCCCGACAAATCCGGCATCCAGCCCCCAGGCCGTTCGCTCCCCCGCACAAGCAGGCCATATGCCGCCCGCTCCACTTTCTCGACGCTATTCTGCATCACCTCTAGCTTCTTCGCGAAATCCCGGTTCAAGATATGTCCACGCGGTGTATTCATTGACTCAAACATTGCCCGCAGTTGCCGTAGGTCTATGAGGATGCCACCCCGGCCATTATCCCGGTTATCAGAACCACCGGCAGCAGCACCATCGACGGAAATGTTGATGGCAGAACTAGTCATGGTCATGATGGCAAAGCGCATCATTTCTCCCGTCAGATCGAATATGCCTAAGATGTAGTCCGCCTCAGTCACGAGGATACCCTTAGGTAATGACCTGGCCACCTCTTCTAGGGACATCAGCCGCTGGGTCTCGATGTAATGTTGAAATGTGACAGCTTCGATGTACTCTTGGATACCCGGACTGATCTGCCATTGGTATCGGTGGGAGTTGATTCCACCTAAGTCAGGTACGACGGACTTGAAGAGGGTGGTTATTTGGGCGAGGCGGTCATGGTTTTCCTTCGCAATGCTCTTGGGAAGGGGTTGGTTGAGAGCACGAACCCGGTGCAAGGAAAATATTCTGTGGATCAATCCGGTTTGTCAGCTCCCATGCAACAGATGTATCGCAGTCTATACCATATAAAACGGCGTACATCTTTTTGCTCAAAGCTGTGATGTCTCTTGAAGCTTTAATCACGCGCTCTCGACGGTCATGGTGCTCGTCCAGTTCGCTGCGAAAAGTGGTAAAAATTGAAAAGATGGTGGATGTGTTGGCGTCTACGATGCTGTCTTCGAACGCCATGTCTGTTGCTTTCAGGCTGTGGACTAGGTTGCCTTCCCAAGAGCGTTTGCTGCCAGCCATATGTAGTGTTCTTGTATGTTCAAGTTGAATTGCGGTGGGGGGGTTTAAATAATTACTGCAGTATTACTAGTGTGGAAGTGTAATTGCCGGTTGCGGGATGACAATGCCAAGAAATTGCAACCATCTCACCAGAAATTGAGATTCAGAACAGCTGGCGCAGTTGAAAGCTGTACTACGACGAGTATAAATTCCCTACGCGGTGCTCCAGCTCCAGAGTGAGGGGCTCAAAATGGTAATTGAATATGCTATGCTTCGCGACGAACCTCTGTTCTCGGATCACTTCCTTGCCAGGGCAAACCATCGTCTAGACAATAAAACCGGGGATCCAAAGTGTGATGATTCCTTTCTGTTGGGGACAAGACATTCCTCCTGTCCAGACTTCCCGATGTTATTCCTTACTATGTGGGTCCCAGCGCCCATATCTGCTGGATTGGTGCTTCGTCAAGGGTACCTGCAGGCTACTCCGTGAGCTCCGGAAACCAGCCTTCTTGCTGCGAACTGGATATTCGCAGCGGTATTTGTCCGTTACTGAGACAGATCTGGACGATAAAGGCACCGTAAATTAATTTTTTAAGAGTAATTTCATGAGGAACTTTTCCGATTATTCCACCCTATTTTGCTCAGATCGGACACATCTGTGCTGGCGCCTACAGTTATTATTACGAGTTGACCATTCCATTTATACCTCTGCCCACACAGTTACCGAGCTTCCATATACCCAGTCAATTCTAGAGGTTCGATTCGGTTTCTCGTGTCCCCCAAACAAAGGAAAGAAAAAGAAAATCGCAAATCCCCGCTCGCCTAGGTCCTCTGGATGAAAAGGTTAGCGATTATGATTAGCTGAAGGATATATGCTGCTACATAGATGGCAATAGGGCAGGCCAAACTGTGGAAACTACGGCGACAGTAGTGGATGCTGTTGGGAGGCGAGCTCGAAAGGCAAGTGGCCTGTCTGCAATGCTCTATCCAAGCGCGAGGCACCATCACAGAGACTTTTCTTATAATCACCCATGCCTTCAGCAATTCTCTGTGGCAGCATTAAATCTCGAAGTTCGAGCCAGAGTGGAAAATATTCCTTGGTCACAAAACATGACAAACAGCTGATGTGCATCGCCTTAACGCATTTTTCCATATAAAATCGAGTATGTCTCAATTGATGCAGATAACTACGGATATTAATAAATAAACATATTTTGAGATATGAATGTCAAATATTTGGCAATTTGTATGGGAAAAACGTTGGGTGGCTGAAGCCGTTCTTTGGAACGGAAATTCTATACTCCGGGCTCGTTATTTCCAACTTTTAGCTATAAACATTGAATGTTAACAAATACTGCAAGAGGAGGAGCTATATCTTGACGCTGCGTAAAGAACTTTCGTCAGTGGACCTAATGACTTGATTTCGTTTTTCTACTCATCCTTTTACGTTTGGCCTTTTCCTGCCCGCATCCGCAAAGCTCCCAAGATACAAGGCCATCAGTTCTGGAACAGAAACAATGGCCTCTAAATGAGCGAATAGAGGACGAGAGGATGATTACAATTTTCGACCGCGTGCCAAAGCATATTTTATGGGTTGTTCTTGCATGAATTCCTGCTATTTGCTCCGATATACACATTTCCTTATATCGATTGTACAGTACGAATTCCAACCGCAGCTTAGTTAAACCACCGCAAACTAGTTGACCGAAACGCCCCTGAATACATGTATTTCTAAACTCCGCCATGCCGTCTATGTTTGGTTCCCCAGCTCTAGTCTTTTCTGCTGCAGTTATCCTTCGTGTTATTCTCCTCTTCTATGGTCTTTTTCAGGATTCCCACTCTCCCGTGAAATACACCGACATCGACTACTTCGTTTTCACAGATGCGGCGAAGTTCGTCTCGCAGGGTCGCTCTCCCTACGAACGAGCCACATACCGCTACACCCCGTTGCTGGCATGGCTCCTGGTCCCGACTGCATGGGGTGGTAGCTTATGGTCCGCCTTTGGCAAAGCATTGTTTGCCTTTGCCGACATCGTGGCTGGCTGGTTGATTGTCCGAGTTCTCCGCCAGCAGCGTCATCTGAATATGGACATGCCTCGCGCTCTCAAGTACGCTAGCATCTGGCTACTTAATCCCATGGTTGCTACAATTAGTACAAGGGGCAGTTCAGAGGGCCTATTGGGTGTCATGGTCATTGCACTGGTTTGGGCTGTTTTAGAAAAGCGAATCGTACTGGCTGGCGCGCTCCTTGGCCTTGGGGTTCATTTTAAGATATATCCATTCATCTACGCCCCATCGATAATATGGATGCTGGATGAGGGCGGGGGCCATGTAGGAGCGATATCGAATTTGTCATTGTCATCCATGATCAATTGGCTACGCTCGTTTTTCAACCCGTCCCGCGTCCTTCTCACCTTCGCCTCTCTCTGTGTCTTTTCCGCCCTCAACCTCTCCATGTACGTCACCTACGGCCTTCCATTCATGCAGCATACCTACCTACACCATCTCACCCGTGTTGATCATCGGCACAATTTCTCACCCTACAATATGCTCCTTTATCTCTCTTCCTCCTCGACTGCACAAGGCACGTCTCTAGGAAGCAACCTAGAGTCACTGGCTTTCATCCCCCAACTTGCCCTCTCTGCCGCTTTAATCCCGCTTGCTTTGGCCAAGAAAGATCTAGCAGGCACCATGCTAGCGCAAACTTTTGCGTTTGTCACGTTCAACAAGGTCTGCACGAGTCAGGTTCGTACTAATTATTTTCATTATTTTTTACATTTATTTTTCAAGCCCCTTCCTCCACTACGGGGCTCTTAAGATCTAATACAAAATACAGTATTTCCTCTGGTATATGATCTTCCTCCCGCTCTATCTTCCATATTCTCTCTTCGTTAAAAAACCACTCCTCGGCATCAGCGCCCTCACTCTTTGGATAGGCGGCCAGGCGCTCTGGCTCTATCAGGGTTTCCGTCTCGAGTTTCATGGCCTCTCTACTTTCGCTCCGGGCCTCTTTGTCGCTTCATTAATATTCTTCCTAGTCAACGTTTGGATCTTAGGTATTATTGTTGCTGATGTCGGCGTACAGTCAGTGAGTTCTTTTGCCATGCGCGCCAGTGGAGATCCGAGCAAAGCAACAAAAGCGGCAAGGGACCAGAAATGAGGGAGATGCCTGGTTCGTTTGAACTTTCTTTGCTACATGCATGATTCTGGTAGATAATGTAGCGCTTTGTGGGGTAATTGACTGGCTGCTTTGGCGAGTCCTGGCTGTTACTCTGGCAAGCGTAAAGCATGTGCCAATATGATATGTAGGTAATTATAAAGGGCCGTGCAGTGGGTGATACAGTCCCTTACGCATCAGAGATAAAGGAACTTCCGTTGGCGCTCATG